TTTTTTCTTTCTTTTTTTTTTTTTTTGCCTCCGTCATTGTCTCGCGCCTCCCTGATGCTGGCCAGAAGCTCTAGAACCGTTTATCTGTGGTTGAGGACCTAATAAGGATCGCTATTCCTGCGAAGTCAGATAAATCCCTTGTCATCTTGCCACCTTCACCGACGCTTTATTCGGGACGACAGTTTTTCATGCTTCACTAGTACCTAGAGCCACTGCTGCTTCCAAACTCTATCGAGACATGGCATCCATAGAATCGCTTCTGAACCCGCTCCCTGACGCAAGTCAGTTCTCTCTCCCAAGCCCGGCTCCGACGAGCTCCGACGCGGCTCCTCGCAGTGAACCACGTCAGAAGAAACCGAAGATCGCGAAAGATGCTCCCATCTTCAAGAGGGGAAAAATTAGGGGAGAGCTGCGGTATCCACCCTGTGAGGAACGCGACGAAGCGTTAACCCAAGCGCATCGCGAGTTCCAACTCCAACCCATGGGGGATATCGCCGAATATCCTAGACACATACCCTATAACAGCGACAAGAAGACGTTCCAAGAGAAGACTGGACGGGAAAGCTTTGAAGGTATGTTGTACTTGTATGCGCACGAAGACAGCGATTCTGATAATCTACAGTGTTCCAGTATACGTTCAAGATCCCGGGCCAGGAGAAGCAATGGACAGTGACGTGGGACTATAACATCGGGCTTGTCCGTACAACGCATCTTTTCAAGTGTCAACAATACTCCAAGGTATGTATGCCCATGACACCTGACACGGAATCGAACTCACCGGAGGATTTTAGACCACTCCTGCCAAAGTCCTGAATGCGAACCCCGGTCTTCGCGACATCTGTCACAATATCACAGGCGGGGCGCTCGCAGCACAAGGTACCGATCATTTCCCATTGCCCATCGTTCCAAACCAACTAACTTTGGACAGGATACTGGATGCCCCTCGAAACCGCAAAGGCTGTTGCTGCAACATTCTGCTGGAATATCCGCCACGCGCTCACGCCGCTGTTCGGCGTTGACTTCCCATCCCTATGCGTGCCCCCCACCAACACCAGTCAATATGGACACATGCTCATAGATCGGGACATCGTGCAAAAGGCGACCGACACCGCGAACTACTACCGAATGCTCGAGCTTCACTCTCCGGAAGTCACCTCCCTCCCACCTATCTTGCACCATCCTACACACCCCCATGGCGAGCCCGATCGCTCTGCCTCATCGCTGGACTGCAACACCCCAGACACATATAATGGGATGCCAAACAGTCCGATCCACAACACATTCACCCCGGTGAACACACCCCGCAGCACGGAAGCAGCGTCTTCGAGCCCACGGCAGGTCCTGGCTGCTCTTTCGAGAGTGCGCGGCAAGACCAACGACGACAGTGGTTCTGAGGGAACACATTCCTCTACCCCGTACTCTGAGAGTATGGACACACCGACCGAGGGTCTATCCGACACTGATGATGAGTATCACGCTAGCGACGGTGGCGATGGTCATGCCATCCAGCCACAGGATACAACGACTGATGATGACGAATACAATATCGGGACGCGCGCCCGGAAGTACAGATCGGCGCTCTTCGCCCGGGAGGTGAAGGCTGCACATGCTCTGCTTAGTCTATGCATGCAGGAGGCAACCGGCAGTGACGAAGAGTATGTCTGGGTTGACAGGGGGCGGAAGAGACGCAGGGCGTCTGCTTAGCCGGTTTTTCTCCGAGTATACTGGTTTGCTTATTTACTTACCGTGAGGACACGAGACGAGAAACGAGAAACATAGACAGGTCGGCGTTAGGTCTTGTATTGTGTAGTGATTGACTTGAATTAAACATTTTATTATGATTAACAGATCTATATCTACTCATCTAGTCATCTATCTATGTATTGATCCATCTCTACACTCAACCCATAAATATCACAATCCCTCCCTTCCCCCTTCTCCATCATTAACCCTCAATCACCAACAACCCCCAAAAACAAAGAAAGAAAAAAACCCTAAGAATCCACCGCAAAACGCGACCACCCCCTAATCTTCACCCCCCAATACCAAAAAACATACGGCACGGGGGTCATCAAGACACTAATACACGCCAAGATGGTAAGCGTATACTGGACGCCCAGGTTACGATAGAACGGGATGCCGACGACGGTCATGCCGCCTGCCGCACAATACCGCGACACAGTCATGAAGCCCAGCGCGGAGGCCGCGTAGATATCGTAGCTGTCGATCACGTACATGTAGCTGGAGATGAAGACGGTGATGGTCCCGAAGCCGAAGACGGCGGAGGCGATGATTGGGGACCAGATTGAGATGTGGTTCTATTTTTTTATTTGGTTAGTTTAGAGAGGTTGATTTAAGGGTTGTCATGCTGGGGATATGACATTGGGGGGAGGGGGAAAAGGTGGGGAGTGAACGTACGTAGTCTGTCCAGCCCATCCAGAATAATCCGATGGGAATGAATGGGGCGCCGAGCATGGCGAACCAGAGCCTGTTTTCGGGTCTTGTTGGGTGGGGGGTTTTCTTCGCATTTTCTTCTTGTTGTTGGTCGTCGTCTTCTTGGGATCCTTCTAAGCTGACGGTTGCATCTGTTCCTGGTCTCGAGACTCCAGTGTTAGAAGAAGAAGTAGAAGCAGCTTCAAACTCCCTCTTAGTCCACACATAAACAACAGGAACCCACAGCCCCGCCGCGGCAATGCCGACATACATCGCGACCCAGACGATATTGGTCAACCCCTGGCTGAGGCCATACACGTCCTGGAAGATGAACGGATACCCGTCGAAGAAGGTAAACAAGACGATATAGATGACGGTCATGTAGAGCGAGATGAGCAGGATAATGGGTTCGTGGACGGTGAGCGCGAACTGGCGTTTGCAGGCGCCGAGAATGCGGTCGAGGAGGGCGATCTTCTGGACGTCCATTTGGGAGCGGTAGCGGTTGTCGCCGGTGACCTGGCGCAGGTGGGCGGCTTTCCATTTCAACAGGAGGGGCCCGTACGTCTCGGGCTGGAAGAGGAGGATGAGGCCCATGACCAGGCCGGACATGATCAGCATGATCCAGTTGGTCCAGCGCCAGGAGAGCGTGCCCTGGCCCATATAGGAGGCGATGACGGGGCCGAAGATGGGCCCGCCGAAGGAGGTGATGGCGTAGAGCGGGAAGGTGAGGGTTTTCTCGAGCGGGTTCCAGAGGTCGGCGATGGTGCCGCCGGCACAGGTGAGGGGCGGGCAGCCGAAGACGCCGGCCAGGAAGCGGAAGGCGAGCTGGGCGCCGATGTTGGGGGCGAGGCCGCTGGCCATGATGAAGATCATGAAGAGGGTGACGGAGCCGATGTAGACGGCGTTGCGGCCGAGGATTTCGGACAAGGGCCCTGAGACGAGGGAGCCGGCGGCGAAGCCGAGGAGGTAGATGCCTGTTGCGAGGGAGGCCACGACCTCGCTGACGTTGAACGCCGCGGCGTTTTGGGGGATCACGGCGGATTCGATGGATGATGCGGCGCCGACTGCAAAGGCGAGGGCGGAGACGATCAGGGTGGCCGTGATTCGCGTGGTCATGCTATAATTGCGCGGATTCATGGGATCCTGGCCCTGCTCCCAGTCGACGAGGAAGACCGACGAGGGCGTCCCGCTGCTGTCGGTGATGTCTCTGCGCTGTACGCCGGGGGGCAGCGCCAGTGGCCGCGATTCGAGTCTCTTCTCCCTGACAGCCTCGTCATTTTCGCTGGTGTTGCCGCTGGTACCTTTGCTTTCACCTGGTACGCTCTGGCCCCATTCCGGATGGTCAGCAAACTGCTTGCGCACGGCCTGGCCGATGCGACGATACTGGAGATAGGACTGCATGGTACGAGAGTCAGTACGGGCCACAGTCGAGGAAAGAAAGCGAGGAAATCGCACTCAATATAGGGCCTGTGAGCTGCTGAATAATATAATGGGGCCATTTTTTCTATCTCGGATTTACAGTGGAGCGATTCGACCGTTCTAGTGGGCTGGAGCCAGCAGGGCCCAGCAGGATCCAGTGTGATAAGACAGTGATTGTTGCTGCATGGAAACCCTTCAAGACTACCTGAATGGGTTATCGGGCCCGCCTCCCTACGGCCGATGTACCGAGTCGGAGAATAAAAGCTTGTCGTGGGGCTTCGGACTTCGCGCCGGCTTACAAATGGCTGGTTCGTGCTCGGTGGTAAATGCCTTCTATTACTGCTATCCCCTAAGGCCGAAGCAATCCCGAGGCCAAACGCCAAAATTACAAATTCAAAGAATCACAAGAGAAAGAGAAAGAGAAAGAGAAAGAGAAAGAGAAAGAGAAAGAGACATATGGAACACAATAACAATGGCCGGCAATAGCCTGAGACCATCACGAAATGAAGTCTAGACGCTCAACGTCTCCCCGTCACCTCGCCACCTCACTCGCTGTCCTCCTCGAAATCATCTTCCGAGGCGTCTCCTCCGTCCTCGCTGTCATCCTCGATCACGTACGTTTTCTTGGCTGCTGCAGTCCGTCGCGCAGGCCGACCAGCGGGTTTCCGAGCAGGACGCACCTCTTCATCTTCGGAACCGGCGGCCGTCTTGCCCCCAGCGGGAGAGTCCAAGATATCATTGGCCATGGCGTCAATGTCGTCATCGGACAAGTCATCCGCTAACTGTTTCTTCCGGGCAGTGGTTTTCGCTTGCTTGGAAGCGTATGCCTTGGCAGCAGGGGACAGAGTGGTTTGCTTGCTGGCCGCAGCCGGCTTAGCGACAGCAGCAGCATCCTTCTTGGGACGACCGCGCGCCTTCGTAGCGGTCGGCTTGGCGGCAGTGGCTGCCGCCTTGCCCCTTGCGGCGGGCTTAGCTTTCGCGGCGGGCTTCACAGGCTCATCGTCATCCTCGTCGGCGACGTTATCATCCGACACCTTCACTTCCTTGGGCTTCACCAGCAGCGATCGCCGTGGAGATTTTGAGGGCAAGAGTTTTCCGTAATCAGTCTCATCGTCAAGATCAGACGAGATCCTCGATGTCTTGGGAGGGCTGGTCTGCAATCCAGAGCTGCTTCCGGGCTTATGCTCGGAGAAAAGCAGTCGGGAGTCGGCCGTACTGCTGTCCTTGGCGCCGATGCCCTTGACCATTTGGCTGACATCACCCAGGAGATCATCTCCGTTGTCACTGTCAGAGTCGCTCAAGGTATACTTGACATGTTTGCGAGACCGGCTAGGGGGAGCGGACGACTTGGCAGCCTCGGCCTTCGTGATCTCCATGAAATCGTCATCATCAAGATCGTCGTCCTCGTCCTCGTCCTCGTCGTCCTTGGGCTTAGGCTTAGCCTTGGCCTTGGCCGCTGGACGGCCTCTCTTGGGAGGTGCCTCGACTTCCATGACGTCCTCATCCACTTCTTTCGCTTTGGAAGCGGTTTTAGCGGCGGCTTTGGGTGCTGCACGACTCTTCTTAGGAATGACCTCTTCGACTTCTGATAGACCCATATCCTCATCTTCATCCTCCTCCTTGGGAGACTTAGACGCTCCACGGTTTTTCTTGGGAATTACTTCCAGATCGAAGTCGTCGTCGAAGTCATCTTCCTCCTTGGGCGGGGATTTAGACTTCGCTGCCGGCTTGTTCAGGTAACTGAGGAGGCCTCCTTTAGGTTCAGCCTTCTTGGCCGCAGCGGATTTCTTCGTCTTAGGCGCAGCAAAGTCCTCATCATCCGGATCATCTCCAAGGGCGGCCTTGCGCTTCTTCGCTCCAGCTCCACGGCCCGCCGTCGTCATGAGCTTCGAGGAGGTGCGCCGACCCATCATAGCCACCTTCCGCAGGCGACGATGTTCATCCTCGAGCTGGAATCTCCATTCAGCGATGAACTCATCCAAGTCATGCTTCCAGATATCTTCCTTGGACATCTTGATTAACGCGTCGACCTCAACCTCCTTGTCGCCAATCTGGCGGCGGAGCTTTTCGACACGCTCCTGCGTCAAAGACCAAATGGGCATGCCCAAAAGGTAGTCGTAGGCATTAGAGAGGATTTCGGTGTCCTGAGAGTCAGACTCCTCGCTCTCTTCCTCGACGACCGGTTCTTGTTCTCCAGCCTTGACGGCTTCGGCCACCTTAGGGAATGCCTTGTACCCTTTATCTTTCAGTTCCTGGACCAGGACAGTCTTCTTCTTCTTGGAGATGACCAACTTCCCATCGATGATCTCCTGGACGAACCGCGCCTGGTTGCTGAGCTTGTCGAGCTCCTTTTGGAGCTGCGAGAGCTGGTACTGCTTGCGCTTCTCGTAGAACTTTAGGCGATAGGTATAGAATTCCTTGAGGATGTCCTCAACCGTGGCATACTTCGTGATGCGACCTTCAGGGTCGAAAGCCACCAAGTTGGTGGTCGCCACCGTTTTAGACAACTTGAACTTCTCCTCTAAGCCTTCCGACAGAGCACCCTTCATGTTCTTCTCATCCAACTGGATGACGAAATGTACCTTGGTATGGGTGTTGTAGTCCTTGTAGTCTTTGATGAATGAGGGGGCCTTTTCAGCTTTGATGATCTCCTCCAGCTTGTCCTTGAAGTCCTGGGTCCAGGTCCGGATAGGAAGTTCGGTGATTTCAACTTCCTTCTCGCCGGTCTCTTTGATGATACCACTGAACTTGTAGCGATCGCCACCGACATCGGTAACTTCACCGGTGAATCCGCGGAACCATGGCTGCATGGGTCGGATTTCTTCTCCGTCCATAAGTCTCTTGAGGTTGTCCACGATGTCCTCGGGGTTGTAGTTGGGGATGGATGAACTCCAGCCGGTACCGATACCGTCAGTACCGTTGACCAGGAGCATGGGAACCACGGGCACGTAGACTTCCGGCTCAATCTTGGCCCCATCATCCTCATTGTACGTAAGTAGGGGATCGTCATGAGGATGGAAGACACGTCGGGCGAACGGCGACAGACGAGTGTAGATATAACGAGCACTGGCACAGTCGGATCCACCCTGAAGACGACTACCAAAGTTGCCACTGGGCTCCAGACAGTTGATGTTGTTGGACCCAACGAAGCTCTGTGCCAGACCGACGATGGTCTGCTGCAGGGAGGCGTCACCGTGTTGATACGCAGTCATACCCGAAACGTGACCCGCCAACTCGACCACCTTCATATCCTTCTTCAAGTTGCGGCGGAAACAGGTATAGAGAACCTTACGTTGACCGGGCTTGAGGCCATCCACGACCGAAGGAATCGAACGGATATTGTCCGCCATACTGAACAGGATGAGCTCCTTGTTGATGAAGTCGGTGTAAGAAATCTTGGACACGGAGTGATCCAAGAAAGTACCTGGCTTGAACTGACGCAACCATTCCTTTCGCTCATCGGCCTTCTTCTTGGAGAACGCAAGCTCAATCAGTCCCACCTCGTTGTCCTGCATGGTGTGGAACTCCTTGAGATGGCGGTCAAGGTCACGGAAGTAGACTTGTGCATCTTCGGTGGTACTGGTACCCAAACCCTTGTAGTACTTGTGGTCCCAGCCGCGTTCGTGTCGGTGTTCCTCTTTCCAGGCTTCATACTCAGGCATGGTGAAGAACGAGCGCTGTTTCGTCGGATTTTTCGGGTCACCCTTCCACACTTTAATAATAGGGGTGATGAACTCGATGAGAAACTCGGGAATTTTCAACAAGCTCGGGAATTGGGCTTGCAAAAAGTTAATGAGCAAACCCTTAATGTGAGAACCATCATGATCCTGATCGGTCATGATCATCAAGTGTCCATAACGCAGCCCACGGGTGTCCGTGTATTCTTTCTTGTGCTGCAAACCAAGGAAGTTCTTAATGTTCTGAATTTCTGCGTTCTTCGAGATCTGTTCGAACGTGGCATCACGGACGTTGAGTAGCTTTCCTCGAAGGGGGAAAACACCAAAGAGATCTGGACCGACCACCGCACGGCCGGCCATGGCTAGACCCTTGGCCGAGTCACCTTCTGTCAGAATCAGGGTACAATGATGGCCATCCTTGGTACCAGCCTTGTTTGCATCGGTCAGCTTGGGATTGTTCATACGAGCGCGGCGACCACCATCGGTCTTCTTCAACATTTGGTCGGCTTTTTGCTGAGCGAAGTGCAGAATATTCGACATGACGTCCGTCTTCAGGATCTTCTTGTAGAAGTCCTCTTCGAGAACACATTTGCTGCCAAATTGAGATGATTTGGTGGTCAGCTGCTCCTTGGTTTGAGAGGTGAAGGCCGGGTTGACAATGAGCGCGTTGACGAAAATGAAGATGTGATTCCGAATCTGAGCTGGCTTCAACGTGGCACCATTCTTGTTCTTTTTCTTCACTTGATCGGCCAATTTGGAACAGATCTGGTCGGCAATGTAGTTGACGTGGGTACCACCGGAGGTCGTCGCAATGGAGTTCACGAACGACACCTGCTGGAAGGAACCGTCCGAGACAGCAAAGCCAACCTCCCAGCGAGGATCGGGGCTGCAGGTGATGATCTCATCCTTGGGGGCAGGGCCATCATCCCCACGTTCCCGGCGAATCGCCTTGGTGTACATTTCCATATACTTCTTGAAGTTGCGGACGGGCACCCGGCTACCGTTCAACTTGACCGCCACTTTCGCGGTTCCCGCCAAATCGTAAATACGACGCTTCACAAGGGCCTCGAAATCGTTATCCATGCCGTCCATTCCAAACTTGGCGTAGTCTGGCTTAAAGGTGACCTTGGTGTAGTCGTCGCCCTTGGCGTCAGTAATCTTCGCCTTGCCCATCTTTGTCATGTTGTTGGTCCACGTTTGCTTGTATTTCTTCTTCTGCCGCGAGTCCTGAGTCTCGATGCTGAACTCGGTGGAGAAGACGTTACAGAGCTTGGCACCGTAACCGTTACGACCACCAGTGACCTTCTGCTGGGTATCATCGTAGTTGGAAGAGGTGAGCAAATGACCAAAAATGAGTTCGGGCACGTAAATCTTCTCCTTCGCGTGCATCTCGATTGGAATACCGCGGCCGTTGTTCCACACGCTGATTTCACCGGTTTCCCGGTTAATGGTGACACGCATTTCATCCATGTTGGAATCATTTTGTTTGTTATCGGCGGCGTTCACGACGATTTCATCGAAAATCTTGTAGAGACCAGGGACGTACGAGACCTCACGGTACTCCATCCCCTCCGTCTCCGAACTGTACACCCACATGAGCTGCGAAGTACGTTCGATGGACCCGATATATGTATCCGGACGTTTAATGATATGTTCAAGTTGTGTAAGCTGCATCTTTGGTTAGCTCGCGACTGGCAATTGTCCGGGACGCTACTTGCCTTCTGGTACTTCTCTGATACGTTCGAGTCCTTGGGGCCGGCGTCAGCATCGTTCGTGAAGGATTCATTTTCCACATCTGCGAGAGGCTTGGAGCCGCCCTTCTTCGCTGCGGGGGCTTTCTTCGCCTTCTTCGGGGGTGTATGTGACAGGACGGAGTCGTCATCATCCAGCTGATCGCCGTCTGACATGTCGTCGTCGTCGCTGTCCGGCTTGGCGCGCTTCTTTGAAGCCGCGGCCTTTCCGGTCGCTTTGCTTGTGAGGGTTGTTTGCGTCATCTTCTTAGGCACAGCTGCTTTCTTGGGGGCCGCCTTCGCCTTGGGCTTCTATGCGACTGTCAGTATTTACAGATGGATTGAGCAACATGACAGTCCAACATACGGGAGCTGGCTCAAAGTCAGAGCTTCCGTCATCCTCAAAGACGGAATCATCCAATATCGAATCGTCCATGGTGAGAAAAGTGAACAGTTAGGAAGAAATTATAGATTGAACGTGCGCAACGAATGACAAAAAATTAGAAAAATAGAAGAGAGGGCATATGAACCCTCTCAAGAAGGAAGAGAAGCTGGGTGGCGTTCGGGATAAACAAACAAACCACAGTAAAGTCCCCCAGTCAGAAACTCCTCCTTTGTCGTCGCTTGTGTTGATTTTCTGTTGTTGACGCGCCGATAGCGACTGATGGGTGGGTGGCAGAAACTGTCTTTCCGCCATCGGTTCAGTGTTGTTCCGCCCCGTGGTGGCGGAGCTTTGGCCGCAACGGGCAATCCCTAAACACTTGTGCCCGAACGGGAAACCGTAACCAAAACATCCAGGGGGCGCGGGGGAGGGGAAGTCCGTCTGGACACGAACCAGACAAGATTTCTGAACATCGCGAGGGTACGGAGTCCTCCGGAGTACGCGGCTATCCTTATCTTTCGTCATTGTACGATTCTCTCACCTTTTGTATAAGAAAATAGGGCAACGTGATTCGTTACAGTCTTCTACACCCAGTTTCCCTAGACAACCAGATTGATCAATATGATCCATACAGAAGTATTGCTCATGTTACACAACTCAGTGTCGATGTATCCTTTGTGTTTGACTGAAAGGCTCTGATCCTGTCTTAGAACAGAAAGAAATTCTATATCTAGAACGATAATGGCTGTTCGGCTCTGTAGTACGACTAGTGGGTTCAGCGGATATCTACCCCTTTCCCGAAAGATATATTTGTACACAACAGCACTACTGCCTCCAAACGGCCGAAGCTATAGCCAAGCACTCTAACTGCTTGAGTCACTAGCCCGTTGGAGTTAGCTCTGTAGAGAATGAATGTTCTAAAGTTATGATGGAAGTTTCCATTGTTATTACTTCCGCATGCTTCATAATTCTCCTTTTACTGTTTAATTATCTGAGGAGATTAATAATAATCGCCTAGGTAATCTAAAGAGAAGTTGCCCAACGGCGAGCAAACCAGGCTGGCCTTGGCATACAATACCCGATACAGAGGATATTACATGGTGGCCAATGATGTCGCGCCAGGGACCACACCAGCCAATCAGTCTGAGCGCCATCATACCCGAAACGCATGAAACTCGTTATTGGGCAGTATTATTACATTCAGGGGAAAGCGCCATTAACGAGCCAGTCATGGAATTTCTATTGTCTGTACAGTGGATTGGCCCTCAGGGACTACATGCAGGTACAGTACAGACATACAGTACTAGTACAGTATGCCACACAGGGCTCATGGGGAGTCAAAGTAAAGTGCAAACAGGCCAGCAACAGTCGATGGTCAAAGACGATATGATCATCGCCGCAATGACTTCCTTGGGGGTTCCATGTCCAAGCTCTAAGTCGTCGTCTCCTCACCGTATCGAAGTGGATAACCACACCCATCACCTGCAGGGTTCAAAATTGTTATGGACCATTATAGTGCAGTGGAGACTCGGTCTGGATCGACCGGATCCAGAGAATCCCAGGGCACCCACTGATTCCACGGTGTTTCCATAGGGTTTCTTTCGTCTTGAATTTCGGAGATTAACCCCCCTCAATACAATAGATTGACCGGTGGTATGAGAGTGAGGGCTGAGTGGTCCATCCATGGTCGGTCGAGATTCGAGAATGAGAAGATCTATTTTCGGGGTTGGAGACTTGGAGTGCCCCGGCCGTATTCCATGGTTCGGTTGAGGGTGGAAGTAGCCTGGAGGTACCGAGTACCTGATCTAGGCGGTGGATCGAGTATGGTATCATGCCTACCAACTCACAATCCTTACAGTTCCGCACGATGAGAGTCACAAAGAAGAAGAGGAAATCCATGAGGAGAGAAGCGGAGATGATTATTGAAAGTGATCGGCAGACGAGACTCTTCGGGACTCGGTGGGGGACGAAAGTGCTAATTATTTGAATTTCCCCTGAGGTTGGCTGTCATGACCGTGTACTAACGACTATGGAAATACTAGCGGGTTTAGTACGATTGTAGCGACTGACACTAATTACTCAAGCTAAACAACTTTCTACACTGCTGTCATTATTTCTTCCTCAGGAGTCCGATCACTCAACTTTCTTCCCCCCTTCTCTTTCTCTTGGGATTTTTTATTTTATTTTGTGCTTGACTTGTCTTCCACTCGTTCTGCACCCCGCTACGATATCACCGTCTTTCCCATTCACTGTGGTCGCACTCAGAAATGCTGTCATTATTGACAGCCACTGCTTTGATTGATCGTCGCCACTCTTCTTATCGTCTGCTCGCTCTCCGTTAGCCCCTCGTTCCCCTCAAACCCCGTCATCTCATCAGCGCCAGAAACTCCCCTGAGGGATGAGCTATTGACCTCCATAATTCTATATCAAAATTAAAAAAACAAGAAAGAAAAGGCAACTCGGACATCATGGACAACTCCGAGCCCACCACCCAAATCCATTCGCCCGGCGTGCCGAAGAATATCCCTACGATTCATCAACATTCCGACTCAATGGTGACCGTCCCCTTATCCGACGTACAATCGAGTTCCGAGCATACACAGCCCGATTGGCGGACGCTTGACATTCCTCAGACCCCGATCGAAGTGACGTCGCCACCGGGAGACAGCGTAAATGCGGATGACCCGACGAATACCACACCCACACGAGACTCGGAACAACCGATTCTGCAACCCCGTACATACCGCGCCTCGGTTGTTTCACGAAGTAGCGAAGAAATCTTCCGCGGCGAGGTCGAGGGTGTGGACTGGAGGGAATTGGACAAATCCGAAGAGCAGGAACCGCGTGGGGAGGGGTCCGATGAGGTGCGTATCATACGATGTTGATGGGCGGTAAAAAAGCAGGGCAGAAGGAATTGACCAGTTTTAGTCTACCTCGCTTCTCTTAGCTCGGCTGGAGCAGGAAAACAATGCCTTGGCAACTGATCCCAAGTCGAGGTTGCAAGCACAGCAGTTTCGCGGAGTGAGGAAGTCCCGGTCACAGTCATTGCGCCAGGTTAAGCAATTGATCAATGATGATCACCGGTCGCTGCGATACTCCCAACTTCCTCCGCCCCCGTTGACTGAGCTCGAGTTCTGGGCGGCCCTGGTCTCCGATTACCCACAAACGGCGCAGCGACTGCCAACATTGACCTCGAATAAGATCCGCAGTGGGATCCCGCCTCCTCTGCGGGGGGTCGTCTGGCCGAGCTTGGCTGGAGCTCGAGATACGACATTGTTAGCGGAGTACCAGCGACTTTGCGGCGAGACAAGTCCATACGAAGGACTGATCGGGAAAGATATCGGCCGCAGCTTCCCTAATGTGGAGATGTTCCGCGATCCTAACGGGGAGGGACAGCAGATGCTCGCTCGAGTACTCAAGTGTTTCAGTCTGTACGATACCAAAATTGGTTACTGCCAGGGCCTGGGGTTCGTGGTTGGTCCCTTGTTGATGCACATGACAGACGCCGAAGCCTTCTGCGTCCTTGTACGGTAAGTCAGCCTTTGCTCCCCCATGAACTGGAACCAGACTGACGAATTAGGCTCATGGACCACTATGACATGCGCACATGCTACCTTCCGGATCTATCTGGGCTCCATCTCCGTATTTATCAGTTCCAAAATCTTCTCGCCCGTCTTCGCCCAGCCTTATATGCGCACCTGGAATCGTTGCACGTCGAGCCGATCTACGTATCGCAATGGTTCCTATCATTTTTTGCGGTCGCGTGTCCGATGCCGATGCTTCTCCGGATTTACGACGTCATCTTCCTCGAAGGCGCCTGCGAAACTTTGATGCGCGTGGCGTTGTCGCTTATGCAGCGCAATGAGAAAAAGATCATGGCATGCGCAGAGTTTGAAGACGTTATGCAGCTGTTGTTATCGAGGAGCTTATGGGATACGTAAGTCGCAGCTCTTTTCCGCCGGGAGAACCTCAGCCTAACCGAGATAGATATTCTTGCCACGCGGACGATTTCGTTAACGACTTCGTGTCCTTGACGTCGCTGGTTACTAAGGAGAGTCTCCAGACTCTGGAGGCCAGCTACAACCAGTCCCAAGGCGTGCCGACCGGCATTTCCTTCCCCCAGATGCAAGCTGCGGCGTCCCGGTTTCTGGGCCGTTTCTGGGCGGGGTCTAGCTCTCACACCTCTGCCAAGCCGTTTACCCTCAACCCCAACCACGCTAGCTCCTCGGGCAGCATTCGCCGTACCACTTCCAAACAAAGCATGACCTCGACGCTCAATTCAATTGAATCCGCGTCGGATGCGAGCACTGCTCCGACAGATCTGTCCACTGATGCACCGAAGCCGCGTGTCAAGTCCGTCATGTCTCAGCACAAGGATCGCGATCTGCACACGCAGATTGAGGACTTGCTCATGGCACTCAGTGACTTACAGCGACAGCATGCGGACCTCACTCGGGAACTACAACAAGAGCGCGAAGAGCGTGAAGCCGATCGGGAACTGTCTAAATCGATGCTGGGTTACATTAAGGAGCTCGACAGTCCCCCGACCGATCTGATCACCAAGGCGGAAGAGCGATTTGGAGCGACCGAGGCCCCTGCTCGAGAATCAATCGGCCAAACCAAGCAGCAGCTTCTGGAAGACCTCAATCGATGGAAGGAGATGCACTCTGTGGAATCCGGCCGGTGTCTTGATTTAACGCGCCGGATTGACGAGCACGAGAAAGAAAATAGCTCACTGCGAGAGCAGGTGCGCGAAGCGCGGGGTCGTATTCAGGATGGCTACCGTGAACGGCAACGGCTCGAACGCATGTTGCGCGAATTGCGCACGGCTCGAAACCCCCGAAGTAGTGCCGAGACACCAACAGATTACGGCTCGCCCGTCAGCGAACCGGGAGAGGGTACCCCAGGCGGACTGCGCGAGCTGAGACTGGTCCGCACCAACTCGCAGAAGAGCACTTTCACCAAAAGGACCAGTAGTCTCGGTTTGCAGAACGTTCTGTCGACGGAAAACAACAAACCGGCTGCAGATGAAGCTCTACTCCTTGAATTGGTCAATGCAAAGACGGCGGAGGCGGTAGCGAAGCAGGAGTTGGAAGAGATGAAGGTGAAGATGGAGGGAATGAGGAAGTTAATCGCCGCGTCTCAGCGATCACCGTCGCAGAACGGCGACCGGAATTCCCTGGTTCGATCCCCTTCGTCCGCGGGCAGTCTCCATAAGGCATCTACGGAGCCCGCTACTGGCGGCGGCGGCTTCTTTGGATGGGGTCGCCGGGCGGCCAGCAACGAACAGTATGCCGAGAAATAATTGCGGGGAATCAGGTGCATATATATGGTTGTGTTTGTTTGTCCTGTCCGATTGACCTTGCATGGCGGAGTTGGTGTGGTTGGCGTTCATTTGACGCATATATCCCAAGGACCATAGGCTATATTCTGGTGTACATACATGGAGATCTGAGGGCCTGGTGCATATTGGATTGACTTGTATACCCTCAACTAGTATGTTGCTAAGCATGACTGGCGGCTGAAACCGACAAACATCCGGACCAGTTCGGGCTCAGTAACTTCCAAAGACTCTTCTCTCTACCTTGATTCCATTCATGTACGCATTTTATACCCAAATCGTAATTCATCCCGGACATACTCGACCACTAACTGCAAGATCGACAACCAACGGACCGAGTTCCTCGGCCTTGGCACAAATCACCATTCATTTATCCCATTTCAATCCCCCTGAAGTTCCCTCAACCATTCACGATAGTCTTTGCTCCAACTCACGTAACAAGATCCAAACCAAGATGCCCACAGCCCTTCAGTCAACAGCCGTAGGCTGGCTCTTAATCTCCCTCGGCCACACGGTACATACACCTCGACCACAAATCCCTAAAAGAAAAAGAAAAAAACAAAAACTAACAATAGATATGAAAAAAAAGCTCTCAGCAAAGGACTGGCAATCCCTCCCCCAAGCCCGCACTCTCCCTAATCTTGCCTACACCTGTGCCCGAGCAGGCTGGTTCCAGGGGAGTGGGTTCTTTCTGATGAACGGTACGTTCTCTAGAACCGAGAATTCGTAACCTCTATTGCTTCCCACACATCTAAAAAAATGGAGAACATGAAATAACGATTGCTAATCAACAAACCCATAGCTTTGATAAACTACAGCTGGTCGCAAAACCCGGCTCTGCTGAACGACCCGATTAACCGGGCTGTCGCGGCATTGATGACGGCTATTGTGGGGGTTAGCTCCGGGTGGTATTTGAAACGCGGAGTCAAGAGTAACGGCATCGTGGTTGCGCTGATGGGGGCTTTGCAGGCTTGGGCTGCTTTTGGGAATTGATTTTTGTGGTTCCCCTGGTAATTATTGAATTCTTGTTCATGCAATGGTTTGTAGGTGTGGTCTTTGCTGGAATTGAATGATATAAGGAATTTCCCTGGTTTTATGGAATGAATGGGTTTATTAACTCTGGATGGGTAATCGGAGATATGTCTTTCTATGGAATTATGAATGGAAGGAAGTTATTGAGTGAACTCAGCCTAGCTATTCATCTAGCCATTGCTGTATAAATACAATGTCCTTGAGTAGTTCATAAACCTCGATATTGACCTGTACGAGACGAGAAAGCGCCTTTGAACTCTGTGTCCACTTTCATACTCTAGCAGAAACTATGCACACTTATATCTATGCTTTTGGCCAGAAGAGGCATACTAACAGGTCAAATAATAACTTACAACTTGTTTTGTCTCCAAAGACATCAATGAGCCACAACTTACCTTCTTATATCCAATTGATTGAGAGAGAGAGAGCGTGCAAATGGCCTGCTGACTTGAAAGCAAAGGAATGCCGCAAAGGTATACTTAGTGATATCTATGGGATCTCCATAAAGCTATGTACGGCTTTCGGTAGCGTTGAGACAGCTCATTGTCTACTCGTTCACCGCAAATACCAGCGACTATGGAGCTGAATAACAAGTGTTCGATGGTCTACCAAGGCTATGATGCTTTCATCCGGGGACAGCAAACAAAAAAGTCGACGTAGCTATGGATAGCTGATCCTCTACGTCATGGCTGGTTCAAAAGAATTATACACTTATAAGAGCGCCATCGCAACATGGGAAGATACAACCGTCTCAATATTCCTGTACAAAGTATCCCCTATACCCGCTTGCCATGATTACACTACTGCAATGCCATCACAAAACAGCGTGATGTCTATCAGAAAATGAGCCCCATTCATTACCAATAGCAAATTGTGTGGGGTGGTTTTAGTCGAGTTCGCTGCCTCCCAGTCCTACCTCGGTGAGTTTTCCAACTTCACTCCGCTTGCGGACCGACAGAACAATGCTAAAGATCTGTAGGTGCCATGCAATCGCTGCGCCAAGACGCTTTTCGAGAAACCGCCAGACAGGATGGTGGACGTCTCCTACTCTCAAGACAGCTGTTAGCTTTTTGCAAACATCGCACTCGAGAGATCGCCTGTGGGTATGCATTACCTGCGACAAGTATCATGGTTAATCTAGCATTTCTACAGTGCCTGAAGAAAGGTACATCGGCGAAACAGCACTACGAAAATATACTCGCAGTTAAGGTCACTGGTGATCTATCTGGCTCGGCAGAGCCCTGCCCTCTCCTTCTGACTATGAGCGGTTAAACGGAATCGACTACTGCGGCCATGCGAGCTTCCTGCGTCCGAAATTACCTTTACTTACTTAGCGACTCTGGAAAAGCTGACCAGACGAGGATGTCGAATTTGATGCCTGTACTCAAGTGGGACATACGAAGTCTCGTAGGCAGAGATACTAACAATAGCTAAATATTGGAGCGAGGATCTCTATGAACGATCCGTCATAGAAATCCTTGTCATACTTGAACCAGCTGGATAGGGTCATGAAGCGTTCAACATGTATGGGAGGTTCCGGCAGATAGATCAGCAGCCCTGCAAGTCTCAGTATCAATTCTACCTGTCAGCGGCCATCAGTCAGTCCTCCTACGTCGCTTTAGCCAAGGAGCATTTTTTCATCCCCAAAAGTATCGGCGTCCAAAACATTTGAGACTCCGAGGAAGTGGGTCTTCTGCCTATCTGAAGACGATCAAGTTGAACGAGAGAGCGTTACCGTCTCCTATAATTCCAAGGCGAAACGTTGTCGATCGATATGCCTTCGTTATTCATACATTTTATGAGCTAATGAGGGATGGATAGATTTTTTTTAACAAGTCCCGAAGCAGACTTCAAAAGCAAGAAGCTACAGCAAATCTCCGATTAAACCCTCTGAGAAAATGTGGAATGACAGGACTGGTGATGATGCAGTTGGGCCGCTCGCTAATGAAACCACCAACACTGGCTTTTGTTTGTTGCTTCTCGGAATCTGATGAGTAGGGGGTATAGAACATCTCTGTGGCTTTTCTAAGCAGAGAGTGGAACGACTTTGTGGCAAGTTTGATACCTTGAATAACTAGCTATCTGCCATTTCACTTGACCCCAAGAAACATGTTGAACTCAGTATGGACAATCATATTATGGCCTATATGTGTGACCTTGGACCGGTCAACGACGTTGCAAAGATGGGTGAAAGCTATTGCTCATTAGGAAACAGAAACACAACCCTTCAACCCCGGCGTTGCGCCCTTTCAGGCGATGGAGCTCAAGCCCTTCTCCGACTCCCTCGGTTGAAAATCGCCTGCTGCACCTCCTGTGGAGGAAGACAGCTCCTCTTAAGATGGCTGAAGTTGACTTAGGCTGGTGCCTTCGTTGTCTGCACCGTGTCCTCTATCGACGTGGGTATCCTGCCAGCAGCGCTGCTTTTCTGGATCATCGTCATAGATACGACGAAGAAGGCTCTAGCTAGTGGTAGAATACCTGGATTTGCCTGGCTTGGGAGAAGTGGGTAGGGTTTAAGTTTCTCTCTATGCGGTTGTTGATATCGGTACACTCCTTCACACAGCTACGACAACGATAAATACAGGTACAATCCGCTTGTGCCACTATTTCCCCACGAAGACATTATCATGCCGGGGTTAAGGTTTAGAGAAAGAATTTTTGTACACAAGCTGTACAGTTCAAGAGCAATATTGCTGCGAGCCCATCTGTCATAGTCGATCAAGGACCAGATCGAATGGAACACTATTATAGTGAAGGATCCAATCAGCTAACCTCCTATGATATAGAAGTATCAATTTCAGGGCCAGAGCAATTAGCTTACCTTTTACCCGGAAGCCCTAGGATGCGGGCCAAGATCCCAATTATCAAAGTCCAGATTTTCCCTTACCGCGAGAAGTCCATTGTCTGGTCTGGTGAAACTCTCACGCAGGTCAAGTCTTAGTATGCGTGATACTAACTCTTTGCCTTATTGATCGATCGGGGTAGCGACGACGAGATTCCTGGCGACAGAGTACGGCAGAGCTATTGGTAGCCCTGCAATTTGCCTACTTTACGAAGATTGACCGGGTTTTATCAGTGCACAGCGGGAATCATGCTTTATGTAGCTTGCCCGCACCGTCTCAAGTTGTTGATAGCTGTTTTAATGAGAAAGATGATTGGTGGTCAAGGGACGATAAAAACAATCCCAAGTTCGTTTGACCGGGTCGGATATTTCTGGGAAGTTCCTGTTATATCCGTCAACGAGCACGTTAAACGGTGGCTGTTCGATCAACTCGCTGGTCAGGGGACCACCGAAACCCTAAACTGGTGGACGAGAATATGTCTAAAGAAGTATATCGCCGTCAGTAAAGGACGATCGTACTAGCCGCCTCGAGAAGTCTGATTTCCAATACCAAGCCATTGACAAATGAACTACCCCTCGCCTATGTGTCATGAACCTAGTCCCTGAGCTGGATCTGGACGAATACTTGACATTTCTCAAGCAGACGCCGTTTAGAGTGGGAGAGCTTGACTCGCTTACGGGCGTGTTCTTATGGCTGACAGATATCAGCGTTCTTGAGACCAGCCAACCTCATCTTGATTCTGGTACGGGAAATGTGCCGGGAAGACATCAGGTCCGGGCGCATATAGCTACTCGTTCCGGTGCAACCGAAGGAGAGTATCTACTTGTCTTTCGACGCTTTGTCACCCTTCGGACTGTTCCTGGTTCACCAGACTTCGGACTGGGGCCTATCCGCGTCTAAAAAAATAGCTAGACCTGCCGTCCTCGACATGCAGACCGCGATCAACGAAGTCCTACAATCAGGTGTCGAATGGCCAGAACGCCAAATTGCCTACCTCAGTTCGATCTGGTTAATGTTTTCAGCTTTCTAGTAAAGGGGTATTCCAATCCTCCCAAACAGTATCATTTTGATAAAGGGGTATCCTTTCTATAGGAAAGACACGATACCAAAAAAACACACCATCGCCTTTACCACTCTTAGCTATTACAATGCGGATGCTATTTTCATGTCTATAGTCAGGAAATACATTCGGTCAGGCCATGTATGCACTCCTGAGACCCCAAATCAGAGACCACTCACTCCCTAGCAAAGAACTGCTCATGATACAGTTAAATATGACGCGTGTTCTTGCACTGCTGCAGATGCTGACAGCCTTGGCATTGGTGACGAAGACTCGCCTGTTACTGGATCAGAGAGCGTCTATGCATGTGGACGGCCATCCACTACTTTCCTGGAGACCATTGGGAGTGCATACACTCAGATCTGGCCGTTGGAGCTTGCCGGTCAATTCGAAATAGACGCCGAGGAGTTCACAGAAAGCGGATCTAATCCACTGTAAAAGTCCGCTTCACCCATGTTTTCGCCTGGGAACCATCCTCCTTGGGGACGATCATCGCTTAGCAAACACATTCGTGAACTGCTTCAGCGTTATTCGGGCAACAGGTGAAAGTGCGATATACGAAGTCTTGTGAGATGGGATACCTGTCATCGCTAAATGTTGGAGCGAGGCTCCATATGAACAGTCCGTCACAGAAGGCTTTGTCACCTGAACCAGCTGGACAGAGTTATTAAAGCCTTCAACATGTATGGGAACTGCCGGGTGTTTGATAGAAGGAGAACATATTGGTGTCAAGGAAAGTATTGAATAAGTGTCGCGAGCTTCTCCTACCCTGGGTCCAAAAATCAGAGCCTGCTGATTACCTCGAATTGGTTGATTGCCACTAGAATCTGTTATACTGCGTCACTCCTGCATGACAGATGTTGGTAGGACATATTGGGCCGAAGACACGAGCCATGTATCAACTGGTACTTTTGGCCAAGTGATATTGAGCATGACAACAGATACTGTTGCGGCGGTGTTAGTGGAGTAGCCGGGGATGTAGAGTACAACTTCTCAGGGGTCGGTACCGCCACTGCCAAACCTGCACCAGGAGTGATGGTTTATACTGGGATGAGCTTGCCAGCTCGCCTGGGCCAAGGCACAACGGCTGGAGGTATGTGTCATTGTATCAATGGAGACATCCAGAGGGAATCTATTCTAATTTACTCATACTGTTTACGTTGTAGACACGTTCAACATGGTGATCAAACGCAACTTTCCTACAATAGCGCAATCCACTCCTAGGGCGGTCGCGAGTGCGTACGAGATCGACACGGGGATGGACTTTCCAGTTCCAAATGAGAGATATTTAGTTGGTCTTGGAAAGGTCAACAACCGTGGAGTGGTTGCTCCTGTTGCCTCAGTATGTCTCGTCTTTATCGATGCCTGACTGCGTGTGAACATCATAATGGCAACTGACATGATGGCATTCTAGACCAACCCTTTCAACAACATGAAGATCAAGCTCACTCCAAAGATGAAGTTCTACATCCTGGAGAGCACTTTCGAGGCGGGTGTCATTGTTGATTACCAGTCTGTTACCCGGGAAGCTGCCGTGATTGACTTTACTTCAGGCCAAGGTGCTGGGAAGTTCTACGCTGTTGTCACCCAGGACGATACCGGAAAGTTCACCGTCCAATACTTTGACAACTATTAGGAGGTAGTCAGTTCTGCGGCGGCTACGCTTTGGTCCTGGTCTTCCTCTTGGCTGGTGGTGAATAGTACTATGTACCTGCGTACGTAGATATCTTCGAATCGTAAATGGAGAAGCGTTGATGTCATTTGATAGCTTACGCTGAGGCAGCCTCCTAATGAGTAGATAATCTACTATGTACTTATGTCTGCTCTGCGGGACGTGACTTTCCATTATAGCGAGGCTGAAATGAACATGAATCAACACTAATATCAAACTATAAAATGTGATTCCCCCTGTCAGTTGTAGATATTCGTAATAAATTGCATGTAGCTCACTTTGCTATCATCTGTAACCTGTCAATCTACCAGCCAGGCTATGGCACTGAAATCTGGTCTTAGCCCAGCGGTGGTGGCCTTCTGCGAAAGGTCATATCTATCGATAGATATGCTGTAGCCTATACTGACCACAGTATACTGTTCTATTGCATGTTATTTCTGCCAGCATTGGACATAAGTCATCTTTTCGCTGGTTCCCCGATGATTGCTGAGTCCAAGGTCAGACTATCCTATCCTTGTAGCGCATGGCTCCTTTTGTAATTATAACCTCAGTGCCCATGAGGGAATCCCTGCAAGTTAAGGTAAGAGGGTACTAGGAGTATGATTAATCATTAGTGTACTAAATCCTTCGCGCAGCTCTAGGGTCCAATGCTTAAGTCATCTCACATGATTCCTTTGGCGCTTTCACTCTTCTAACCTGTTCTCAATGACATCAACTTCCAGTCCTCCAATTCAAAGTGTATACAAAAGATAAACCCCTAGAACTAGATATACAGGCAGAATACAAAGCAAAAAGCTCAGCGACATCCTATGACCCACAAACAGTCCTCCCAACCGAATAAGCAACCCCACAACACTTAATAGAACCTCTCAGAATGACACAAACATACTGCACCTGTCCATACCTAAAACATCATCTTTGATCGCGACAGTTCTGCTCGGAAAATCCTGGGTCGTAGTGGTCCTCATATATGGGACCGCACACTACCATCAGCTCTACGAAGCTGTGACGAAAACAGTGAGCCTATGTCATTACCCTTCAGCATTCCTCCTAGTGTGTCCAATCCAAGTTCGCCAAGCGCCAACTCTGCAGTCAAAGTTAGGTTGTGCATTGCTTCAGTGTAATACGGCACCTCAACACCGTCATACGTCACAAGCTTCACCACAGAATCTATAAGGAGGTGCCCATTTTCCAAAGCTTCGGACTGGGCTTTTATAATGGTACCAATATTTGACTTGATTCTTTCTAGGTTCAGTATGCCATATAAAGGACTTGACTGATTCCCTGGTTTTAGGATCAGATTTTGGAGCGTAGCGTTGCCAATTATGTCCCCAGAAATCTTCAGGTCCAACACGACAGTCCCCTGCAAGGATTGTCAGCTGATTGACCTGGCCACAGATTTTTTGAGGGGTGGTTACAATCTCTAGCGTCATGACCGAAGGATTGGGTAGGGATACGGTGGCAATGAAGTTCGTCCCATTGTCAGCGGGAGGGAAGAGTATCTGGGGATCTTGGATGGAAAAGCCTGAGAATGAATTCATGCCTGGTATCAAACATCAGAATTTGCCCTCTTTCAACTTGGAAACGCGGGAGTTTGCTTGTGCAGGCGGTGCAGCTAACCTTTCTGTATAATCTCCTTATTAAAGACAACATTTGATTTTAATTTGCCCAGGAAAGCGTTCACTCTGGCGGTCGCAGACAAAGTAACAGTTTCCTGGAATATCATGGAACGGACGTATTCAAGCCACTGCTGGTTGTTCAATTGTGTAGTTTGGTTTTGGACTCCTAGGACAGCCGTCCCGCCAACTGTGGTTCCAGGTATGTACACTTGAGCGAATGGGCTGTTACTTGAACCGTGTACGGATCCAAGATTTAGTGCCAGAGGATCTATGCGCACTGGAATGTCAACGGGTAGATGTAAAGTTGAGTTGATAGTAAGGTCGACCGAATGAGGGCGCGGGTTCATGATATCGGCTGCTATGAGGGTGAGAGATGATTGATTGAGTATTCGCTGGGCTATCGCACGGAGTATCACTAGAAAGCTAAGAACACAGTAAGTGCTATTATTCGAGGAAGCAGGTATGGGGCCATACAAGACTGGTAGCATGATGGCCAACACAACAACCCCACCCAGAAGATAGAACCACCGGAACTTTGTGCAGTGTCGCCGAAGAGATTGTCGCTTGCTTTTTGGGAAACTTGACGATGATGGACTGGAATCCATCACCTCGCAATGCTCAACCTCGGATACATCCCCACCAACTTGACCATCGCGGCTGGACGAAAAGAGATATGATTTCATAGTATACGCAGGGATCTGTGTCTAGATGGAAGACGAAGAACAGATAATCGCTGGGGTGGAGACTTTGCCGGGGGTAGAACTATCACCGTCAGCCTGCGTCTCTGAGAGATAAAGTGATGCAACGGACAGACATTTTAACTATTGTATGAATGGCGGAAGTTGAGAATCTTGCCCAAGGGAGGTGTGGTTGGCCAGGCCATGTACCATTGAGACAATGGTTTTGAGACACCACATGTGCAGTCCGTGATTGTCAGTACACAGGCTAGACTTCTCTAACATGCTCAAAGATTTAGCCCTAAATCTGACCGTTCCGAATTATCAGCATGTACTCGGTTCTTTTCCGGTGTTGTCTCTTCTACATTGAGGGTATCGGCTGTAATCCGGAATCGTGCGGGGTTTAAATGCGCAGATCAAGTCTTTCGGGCTTCTTTTCTTGCTGGCTCTCGCTTTCATATTGGCCAGGCCTTACTCCACACTGTGAGTTAACCTTTGTACAAGACAGTGATGGGGCAGGACCTGACCCCATGGGGTCCCGGAGAGCCGGAGACATCCCGAACCTCAAGCCAAGTCTCATAGTACACGGACCCTGGGGGGATTTTGGTTGTCCCGAGTACCCAGGGCCAATTGACTGTCGAGAAGCAATCATGACCGGAACTCACAGACTCATTGAAGTGATGGAAGTATAAATACACGTACATAGCATCGCAGTGTACCAGCAATTATTGCAAGAGTTGTTGTGGCAAGTCCTCCAGCAAGACCCGGCACGCATCCTCAGGGCCTTGCCGGAGTGGTGCCGAGATTCTGGTCGGTGTTGGACCCTGGCAAGCCATTTGGTGATCTTAATTTACCGCGTGTCCTCTCTGAAACCAGTTGAAACCGAATGGGTTTTGGGACCCCCTATCATGGGCTACGAAAATATAAATATGATTGCATACTGCCCTCAGCTCTGAACCCAAAAGTATAGTGATCATAACCTCTGCGATCTCGGTACTCTTTCTTTTTGTATTTTCGTTGTTCCTATCGGTTTCTTTGGCCTCTATAGTCGACTGTGTACTGTCTTTACCTGAAACATGCGTATATCGAGCAGCCTTCTTTTTACAACACTTCTGAGTGGTCTTTCAGGCAGTGCCCATGCTCATGGAACCAAGCACCACCACCGCCTCCGCGACGGGTGGCACCTGACAGATACACACATCCATGTGCTTCCTCCGTTCTACGTTGCCGCAGTGGCCAAAGCCGGTGGTGATCCCTCCGGATTCCCAACGCCCGAGTGGTCCCTGGAAGGGACATTGCGCAGCATGGAAAGCGTAGGGTCTAAGAAGGCCGTCGTATCTCTGTCAACCCCTGGGGTTCCTGTCATGGGAACTGGGAAAAAGGCTCGCACCCTCTGTCGCAACGTCAATGACTTCCTGGCGAACCTCACGCAGGAAGCTCCCACTCATTTAGAATTCTTCGGGGCTCTTCCGGACTGGCGAGATGTTGATGGCACTCTAGCCGAGATTGACTATATCTTCAAGACTCAAAAGGCAGCTGTTGGGGTTGGGATGTATACTGCGTATGGGGATATGTTACCCGGCGATCCGACCTTTGATCCGATATGGGAGAGACTGAACATGTACAAGGCATTAGTGTTCATGCATCCTGGAGTCATGGATGTGAAACCCGCCTTTGTCGCTGGGGTCTTGCCACAGCCTATCATTGACTACCCCCAACAGACCACTCGCGCGGCCGTCGACCTAGTGCTTCGCGGGGTTCGTACACGCACGCAGGATGTGGACCTGATTCTATCTCATGCAGGCGGCACCCTTCCCTACCTATCCACTCGTGCATTGGGAAGTCTTGTGGTACCACAAGTTTCCAGTGCCGTGAACGTGACCATACCTCAGGTCAAGGCTGAATTCCGCCGCTTCTACTACGACATTGCCCTCAGTACCACCGAGACCCAACTTACCGGGCTGTTGTTAAATACGGATACATCGCATGTGTTGTACGGATCCGATTATCCCTATGCCCCTGCGGTGGCGATTGCAGAGGGCAAAGTCAGCTACCTCTCCTTTGCACACAACCACCCAGAACTGGGCCCCGACATCCTTTCGAAAAACGCCAAAGATCTACTCGTCAAGCATAGGCTCTCGGCAAATCTGGATGAGTAGCCTCATCCTACCGTAATCCGATTCTTATCTATAGCTGTTACGCATGCACTGCGGAAAGGGGATATGGCCAGTATATCCTCATATTCTTGTTTTTTCGTCTTCTTTTAACTATGTAGCCATTGCCCACGGATTGTCCCACGCTCCTAGTGTCTTCCTTTGGTAATATTTTACTTATGTTGCCTCAATGGCACTCTAAGCTTTATCTGACTCAATTACATTCTTTGATATATACCATTTCAACATTCCTTATTGTAGCATAGCCTGCCAATTACAGAATTTTGAATACTTCCAGCCACCGGTGACCCTTGCTGATCATGGCGTGACACAAACCGCTGCATATTTCGTTTGGCTGTGACGGCTTGAGGTGCAACTGTAATGTATGCTCTTTGCGTGTAGTTAGGATTATTTCCCCTCATGCTTAGAACTCTGTATAGACAGCGTCAATATAATCATTATTGAAAAGCTGCCACACGCTATACTTTCGTCGGCGCTGAATATCCTCGCCTGGTGGATAAGCTATTCTATCCCGGCAAAGATCTTCGACACCTTCCAACGATTTCTAGTGCAGTTAATTGCTTTGCCTAGATTTAGAAATTTGAATACGGAGTTACGTCCCTAATTGGACCAAGATTCAATGAAAATTTGTTATTCAAAATATCAGTCAAAATGATAGAACTGGGCTCCAGGTGGGCCCAGCATTAGGTTATACCTAACAGTAACTAGTCACCCAGATAGCCTAACTCAATGCTGCAGGGCAAAGGATTCATGATTGCATACAAAACGCTAGGTATCATTCCTAGTCTTCTTGCGAGCTATCAACCTCGCTCGTGCTCTATGTGACGCCTCTTACCAACCCCGCGCGTACTCTAAACCACTAAACAAGCCTTCCAGTCTGTGGATCAATTACCTGTCGCCCTTTAAAATCTACTTTCAGAGACTTGGTACCACCACGGACCAAGTTCTGGAACCAATCCGGCGCTCCTCGCTGCATGGTATCAGTAAGAATCCTGCATCAGTTGAAGGTAAATGGCTCACCAAGCCAGCAAAAAAACCGAAGATCCCCGGCAGAAAGACCGTTTGGCTGAGACCACTATCGAGAATATCCACAATGGCATCCACAACAGTGTCGACATGTAAAAGAGGCATCAGGAACCGGGGCTGGTTCGTCTCCCCTTTGAAAAGCGGCGTCTTTGTGAAGCTCAACACGGCCATCGAGGCGCGAACCTTTGGAGCATTCTGGACTCGGAGCTCTTGCATAAGACACTAGTTGACCAAGGGAATATCAGTAGTTTGCACATTCGCAATAGCAGACTCGAGTCGTACCTCATGGAATGCAATCAACCCAGCTTTCGACGCCGCGTAATCCGCCAGTCCCGGCGGTGGGATATAGGCACTCATCGAGGCGACATTGAAGATATGTCCATGATTTCGCCGGATCATCGCCGGAAGGAATTCTTTTGATAGGAAAAATGGTGCCAGTAAGTTCGTTTTCAGGGTTATGCTGTTGTCGTTGTAGGTACCCTCAACTACTGTCCGCCCGCGCGATAGACCGGCATTGTTGACTGCGATTGTTAGCCAGGCATTCTTGAGGTACTTGTTTCTGTTTCTTTCACCGAACCTAGGACAGTTGGATCGCCGATTTCCGCTCTGATCTTTTCGCAGACAGCTGCGATCTCTTTCTCATCGCTCAGATCGCATTTGTGGTACAGGATTCGCTTATTCTCTGTGCGTGCTAACATTAGCAAAGCTCTCACAAGCATGGGGGTTCTTTTTTTTTTGGAATGAAGGCCAATTGGATTACCGGGCTTGAATGTCAAAGGGATGATGTCCAAGACGACAACGCGCGAACCCAAGGCAGCTAGACGCTGAGCGACTCCTGCCCCAATACCGCCGCTGCCTCCAGTCACCACGACCAGCTCCTTTTTCCAGTCCCACGTATCGTCTGAAACCCAGTTGTTCCGACTCTTGGTACTTAACCAATCGTTGAGCCACAGGAGGACAGTGGCTGCTGCGGTGATTTGGACGAGCTTCTCATAAGGCGCGAGGGCACTGAATCTCCCCGCCAGGTGTAGACACGATAATGTGAAGAGTGGGTGGAAGATCGATTTTCGCAAGCCCACTACTATGGGATCGATGTAGAGCCCTTCACGGGGGAGGAAGCGTGGTTTGGCCATCATGCTCATGTTCCGAGTATGGGGGAGAAGCGTGTACCTTGTCCGTGTATTTTTATGCGGGGGGTGGAGACATACGGACATACGAATATCTACCTAGGTAAGTGTATCAAGTATCCTCTGTCGTCTGGCATTTCCCGGGAGTGTTCCGGGTTGAGCCCGGAAGGGATCCGGCGGTTTACTTCCTCGTATCTGACAATGGAACCATTTACCCTGAGAGCCGGAACCGTCCGAATAACTATAGTCAATGGACATTTCTGTGATAGGCATGGAAAAAATAGCTGCCATAGATATATCTATTAATTGCTCCCCGAGAGGTGCATCACTTTTTGCCGCATTTCCAACTGAGCACTTGCGTCCTGTCTTTTGCTTATCGTATTATTTTCCTTCTTTCTTTTTTACCCATTGAACCTGCGGAGCGACAAGGCCAGGAATAGAGAAAATGGCTCCCCCAAATGGCTCGACAATAACAAATCTAAGCGGCACTTGGGTAATGGTAAGCATACCGCACATCCCCTGAAACTGACCTCACGCTGACCCACGGCCCTAAACAGGACAAAACCCTATCGACCAACCTTGATGCAGTTTTCAAATTGGTAAGTATCTCATGATATACCCTGATATAGCGTATAGGAAGGCTAAGGAACATCAGCAAGGAATAAGCTGGATACTAAGGAAGACGATATCCGCATCATCCTCTACCCTGAAGATCACGCAGGGCTCGGATGAAGACGGCGAGTGGATGACGCTGGAGCCTGCACTAGCTGGAGGACTACAAGGCACGCCAGAGAAACGCCAGTTAACCTGGGCTGAGTTTGAGCACAACGACACCCTCTTTGGCCGTGTCATCATTCGGAGTCACTACATTGCGGGGCAGAGGATTGCGGATGGCCGAGTCCGACCTCTTGTGGAACCTTTTACGAAGGTTGTTGTCAAACCAGAAGCCGGGTCTATCTTGGCGGAGGCAGTCATGCTGGCACCGGAAACTGCAGGCGCAGAGCAGGAGAAGACGGATAAAGCTTTCATTCACGATTCCATCCGCAGCATGTACCATGAGTGGACAGCGGAGCAGGTACGCACCTCAAAGCCATTCTCAGCGATCGGACACTTGCTCACTGCGCGATTAGATCTGGGCAGTGGAAATCGTAGGCGAGGAAACGCTTTTGACACGTAGGGTTGTGGTCTGGAAAGGCTCCTATGCTGAGTCGGCTCATATTTTCTACAGACTTGCATGACGGCGACGGGGGTTGATATATGGCTTTTTGGGATGTAGATTATTCAAGATCATAGAAGGTCATTATAAGAGCGTTCTGGATTGGATATTTGTAGAGAGTATACAGGAAAAATGGTCAAATAGCTTGCTTTGCCTTCGCAATAGAATGTATGGCCCGCTTCCCAGGTAAACACAGCATAAGTCGCTAGTCGCAAATCAGCAATGCTTTATAGAAGGGAAAGCTTTAGGTTTACCCGGGAGGTTTTCATGAGACGAACAGTTATGGTGGCTGTGGATCTTCCAGACTCTACTTGTTGCTGTATTATCCGCCCTGGTTTGCTCCCTGTGTACACTGACAGCGACACCAATAGTGCTGTGGTTCGCGAATCTCTGTAGTCACGAATTTGGATTTAGAAAAATGTATTACACAAAACTATACGAATATTTCTCACTGAATAAATGGATATTGATTGCATGTTCAAGGATAGTTTGCTAATAACGACTTGGCAAAAGCTGCATAATATACACGAAACTGTGCATGAAATACACGAAGCAGCGGACTAATGAAAAAATATCACCCTCGACTACCTGCTGCTAGCTATCTGCTCAGGACACAGGATAGTACTCTGGCCAACTGGCCTCTAAGAAGCTCGAGAGTGGCGGGGACATTGGCAGCGTCAGCGGACTGGGTGAACCCCAAAACACCAATGCAAAGAAGAGCAAGAACCATGATTTTCCATGATTGACGTGATGACGGCTTCGTAGCTTTCTGTTGACAGTGAGTATCGTGATGCCCACTGGTTGAAGGGGGACGAACTTTGATATTCCAATCGGACCAGGTGGGAAACAGACTCCTCCACCAGTAGTGGCCTTGTGTCCAGGGATAAGACATGGAGTTCCATTTCTTATCATTAATATACCACTATTTCATCTACCGTTAGAGAGGCAAGCAGCAAGTTGAAGCGGCTATAACACTTACCGATACACAGCCCGCGTTCCAAACACGCTTACTCAATGCGTTCTGCACCCAGTAAACGTAGTCGTGCTCAGCTTTAGGCTTCAGATCAACCGACACGGCGTCACCATCCAGAACGGGCTTCAAAACACGGAGAGCGTAGTTAATTGAGCTAGTATTGATGGTTAAAGACCTGTCCTGCGCTTAGGTGAAAGGAAGAGGGGCTGTTGGCTTACTTTTCAGCAGCCATCATGGCCGATGTATGCCCGGTAGCAGCATTAGGTCCGAGGAGCATGAAGAAATTTGGAAAGCCACTCAGCACAGAGCAGTTGTACGCGGCTGGACCGTCATACTTGGTCCAGTGTTGTGATACGTTCTCGCCGTTGCGTCCGACTACATCCATGTAAGGGATGAATTTGTTAGTCTTGAAGCCTGTCGCGAGAATAATTACGTCCGCTGGAATGAAGCCTTTGTCTGTCTTGATGCCGTCTGTGGTAATCTCTTCAGTTTTCGCGTTAGTTAGAAGGACTTTATCGTTGTGTAGGGATTCAAGGTAGCCAGGATCGAATATTCGCCTCTTGAGGGTTGCAAAATTAGCATCGTTTCCAACATCTGATATTCAGAGGAGTACGGGAAATCAGTGGCATACCTTGCATCCTACATCAAAGTCCGGAATGAGGAGGTCGTGGTATTTCTCCGGGCCTGCCTCGCGCATGTATTTCTCAACCTGCTTTCGCCGCTTCTCTCGCAGTCTGGCTGCTCCTTTGGTCATCGGAAACAAGCGAAAATCATTCTCAGCGACCAAGAAAATGTGAAGTCGGTGCAGCCTCATCGCAAACGGAACATAGCGGAAGATCCATTGCAACACCCGTGGGTAGGTGAAGTTCGGGGCAGGAAATATCCAGTGCTTTGTCCGGACAATTTGCGTCAGGGACTTTATCTTTGCATCGTTGGCCAGGGCCGGCACAATCTGTGCAGCAGTGCCTAAACGCCATCAGATATGATTTCAAGGTATGGAACAAAAAGACACATACAGCCGTTCCCAATCACAACAACATTCTTCCCCTCGAGGTCCACGCTGTGATCCCACCGCGCTGAGTGGAAGATACTCCCGTGGAAGTCTTCAGCGCCAGGAATATCACACGGCCGTGGTTCGACGAGCTGTCCCGTTGCTGCAAAAAGGATCTGGCACTCGTGGGTGTATTCGCGTCCGGTGTTCAGGTCGCGTAGGTAGAGAAGCCAGCGACTTGCATCGTCCCGCCAGACACTGCGGACTACTTCCGTTCCGAAGGTCATCTTACGACGGAGATTGTATGTGTCGACAACGTTGTCGACATACTCTTTGATTTCCGTGTTTGAGGGCATAAGCTTCGTCCAGTTGGGGTTTTGCGCGAAGGAATAACTGTACAGGGCGCTCGGGACATCGCAGGCGCATCCTATTTGGTGTAAGTTGAGAATGTGGGGAGATGGAAAGGGAATCACTCGGACCAGGATATGTGTTGATGTACCATGTCCCGCCACTTGTGGGATGTCGCTCGAAGAAACAGATATCTTCAAGGTCGTACCATCTCTTCAGCGTTGCTCCTAGAGCCACGGCTGATAGCCCGGCACCAACACAGGCTATCTGGCTGTAAGACGGAGGATCGATGGACTTTGAAGCCATGGTTGACACGAATATATCGTACTGAGACGTTGTAGTCTGGATTCTGCGTAAGCTTAAGTACGAACCATGCCGGAATGGCGTCCTGGATATAGATCCCGCTGCGCCGGAACTCTCCCGAATGCATGGATGCAACCCGAATCGAGGAATAATATGTGCAAAACAGCATTCTGAGAGTGCCCTAGTCAAGAGAACCACACATCCGATGTTTTCCCAGTAGCACCTTGTGTGCCAACGGCTCTCACATGTCTCATTATTCTCCGGGTCAGATCCGGCTTCCTGAGCGTCGCTTCTCTTGGCCTCGGTTTCAGTAAATCAAGCCACCATGAGCACCTGCACACCTGGAAACTGATTTATGTGCGTCCGGGAGAGCTCCGGTTCTCTTCAAAAGTTATAATGCCATCAGTACTACGAAAGAGTCAAACGAAAACCACATTCTTCCAGCGATCAAACAACCATGGATCTCCACCGCGAACTGCAGGTCACCTGGGACCATATCCTAAAATCATACAAGCCAGGTGCAATCGAACTGATGGGAGCAATTATTACCCAAACTTTCGGCTTTATTATCCCAGCAACGCTTTACATGCTGATCGATACCCTGTTCCCCAAGTTCTCGCAGCGCCACAAAATCCAGGGAGCCCGCCGACAACCGACCCACCAGCAAGTCCTGCACTGTGTGAAAGTTTCACTGTTCAACCACCTCTGGGTATTGGCACTTCATGGCATACTGGTTTGGCTCACTGGGCTGGACCACGCCACTCTGAATCTGGATCCGATAGTGCCCCCTTGGAAGGAGTTCATCGGGGACTTTGTCTTTGGCCTCCTAGCGCGAGAAATATCGTTTTACTACATCCACCGTGCTCTACATCACCCGAGCATCTATGTGTATATCCATAAAATGCACCACAAATACGTTACCCCTGTGGCGTTCGCAGCGGAGTACGCCCATCCTGTCGAGCATATCCTCGCAAATGTCATGCCGGTTGCGCTGCCTTTGTATCTCAAAGGCGCACACATCCTGTCGATTATGGCATTTGTTACCTTTGAGCTCTGGGAGGCTGCGGCGGACCACAGCGGGTACGACTTCTTGAAATTGCCGCCAGCCGAACTGCATGACTTGCACCATGAGAAATTCCGTGTGAATTATGGGACTATTGGATTGATGGACTGGATCCATGGGACAGATGTTGTGGGGTGGGATAAACCCAAGGCGAAACAGGCCAAGAAGGATGAATGATTGAACGGAGAAAGGAAGCTGTGGAAAGCCGCGACCTCTATGAAAACTGCAAGACTAGTCTACTATGAGCGAAGACAAAGCTAAAGCCTTCTTGAAAACATTCTTTCCCGAGACGGCAGCTCGACCTACCTGCTGTCAAGCTCTCACCCCCGAGCTCGTTGGGGTTGAGGGCTTGAGATCGAACCCTCAGTATCGAGTCGGTCGCTTGACATTGCTGGGCGCGATGGCCATGGATTATGAAATGCTGAGGAAGCATTCTTGATGTATATAAATGTGAACGTGATGTAGACCATACGAAAGAACATCCCACTATTGCTCGCGCATAGCTTAACTAAAGTCTCCCCCTTCCATCTCGTATCCTTCAAATTGTTTCCCCAACCCTATGCCAAGAACAGCCTAACTTCTTTTTGGAAATACTCTGATGGTATTCAAAGTCACCTATTACAATCACAGTACTTTATTACATGTTTCACTAACACAAGCCTACCTCAATACCCCTCCTTAGTACAGGTCTATCGATCATATTCGTTCTCCCATAACTGCGTGACACGAAACTCCCTCATTCTTTCTACAACTAAAATCCAACCACACGACAAATAATACAAAACGAGCAAAAATAGCAGGAAAAGAAAATCAGTACCGCAGCTATAGACTCTTGATATCAAGTAGGCATTATTTTGACCCTTGAGATTCGAAAACACAATCCCTAACTCACTTTTTGGTGCTTAGAGCGACTCATACCTTCTATATTCCTGCTAATCAATCTATAATGGCTGAATGGGAGTACGACGACTTCGATGACTTCGACGACGGCCTCGATGAGTTTGGAATTGGTTACGGCCTACCAATGGCCGATATACAAACCACCCCCCTCCATACCGCTGCCCGACAAAGGAATATCTCTCAAGTCGAAAGTTATCTAAGTCATGGGGCGAACGTCAATACGTGTGATGGTCAGGGCAGAAATGTTTTGCAGGTGGCTATCCTACAAGAAAATAACGAAGGAATTATACGGCTTCTCCTCAGATATGGGGCTGATGTCATCGGCTGTAGTGGCCCCCATGGAAATGCTTTGGTCCATGCAGTCCGTGCAAACTCAAGCATCATACAACTTTTATTGGACCATATTGCATCTCAGGGTAGTGACTATCATACAGCTTTAGAGAGTGCTCTATATTATGCCTCCGAAACAGGTCAGCTACAATCAGTTCGAATACTCTTAGCTCGAGGTGCGAACCCTAACGCGAGAGGTCCTATGTATGGGAGTGCAATACAGGCGGCAGCTCATTATGGGAGTGAAGAAATAGTGCAAACTCTTTTAGATGCCGGAGCTCAGGTAAACGCCCAGGGAGGATATCACGGTAATGCGCTGCAAGCCGCGGCAAGGTATGGACAACTGCACTTAGTACAAATGTTATTAAAAGCTGGTGCAGACGTCAATGCTCAAGGGGGTGTCGATAGAAATGCTTTAACCGCGGCTACAGTACAAAAGCATATAGAGGTTGCCAATATTCTTCTACAAGCTGGCGCAAAAGATGACATGAGTGAACATGAGGGTTTGAGCGACGTTAACATGCCTGCTGATATAGGACTTGACCTATTTGAATATGTACATTATTAATGTATTGTATACATATATATTCCGTTGGCTGATCTTCCTATAGTCGACCAAGAGTATATTATAACACCAGTCCAAGTATCTGGATCTTATCAAGACGGATGCTATTAGATGCTCCTAGTATATACTCGATATAGGGTTCTCCTCGGAATCTTAGTTGACATCATATTCTTTAGTGTAATGTTTCAAGCAGCTTATTCAGTACCATAAAAGATGGCTGGAGATAAATGATCAATCGTTCTATCACTCAAACCGAATCGATCAGTTGTGCCATGGTGGTGAGATTTGACTACGCGCTGTACCAATGTTAGGGCTGAACTTCACTACAACAAGTCCCGTCTAATATCGCATAGTCAACCTTCAACCCAGCCTTTATCCATAGTCCTAACTAGTTTGCCTGGAAAGGTTCCAGCTACCATAGATCTTTTGTACGAGTCGTGTACATGTATTATAGAACGGTAATGGTATCTTATAAATAAGTAGAGTACGCTAAATATTCTAGGAATATAGTTGCTTTGTTCAGGTACCTTCAGTGGCTCTTGGCGATAGGGTTGGGAAACAAATAAAGGATATAAGCCCGGGCGCCGGTTTTGAATTTTTAGTGTATCATGAGTCTGAGGTGTATTATTTGGATGAAACGAAGGATCAACATTACCAACTCCATCCTCTGTATGTTGCACGTCACCGGGGAGTCCGCAAGGGACGAGCCTCCAATCGCAATATCTTGACTGCTGGGGGGCGCAAGGATTAGCAACGGCTTACGTCGAGCCGGGTCTGTCCCGGCTCTGCGTCACGCACTGATGTCCCCTTGCGGCATAGGGTTGTGAAATCCCATAGCAGTCAGGATAGCCATGATTTACTTTGGGTATTGCAAGACTATTAGATACAGCTTAGGGCTCCGCTCAACGGAAGCGTTCCGGTTGCTCTCGGGTCCATCCCGGACTTCGTTTTCTTTTTTTTGGTTCCCAGCATGAACAAAACAAAACATGGAGTCGGCATCATTCAAAATTCCAGGGGCTGTTTCCGTGCATGGTTAAAACGGCTGCCTCTGGGTCTGGCCATGTGGAATGGGTTTGCTGGCGCGCTGATGGCCAACACTCCTGTAAGAGATAGGACCGGGGTACGCTATTCCATAAGGCCAAAAGGTTAGAATAATTCTGGATCAACGATCTACAATGCTCTGGGGTGACTTATATAGCCCACCGTTACAATTATTAAATTATAAATTTTTTATAACCGCAATGGAAGAAATAATATTATAAAATATTATTAAATTAAAAAATTATATTAGTTTTTATAATGTAAGGTTTAGGGAGATATGTTCACTATATTTTTCTATTTTAGCCTAGTATTTATATATATTTTTATTAGATAGTTATATAGTTAAGATTTTATAATAGACTAATTAACGATTGCAGCCCCAATAAGAACTTGAGATTTTATTGTAAAGACTCTAAAGAGATGCTTTGCTGGTACTTGACATTGCGGAGAATCTCCGATGCGGGGATTGTAATATTTGCGGGGTTGCCCGAAGCCATGTCAAGATATTTGATAGATAACAACCTCATCCAGTACCTTCATCTTATACCTGTATATCGTGGCATGCTATATATAGTAACATCAAGATGGTCCTCGCACAGCCCGAAAACAAACACGTTCTCAAGGCATTTGACCTTTCAGGCAAAGTCGCAGCCGTGACTGGTAGGTTTCGATCTAGGAACAGCACTGCTACCCAACATCAGCTCAGTAACTTACCTTGTATCTCCTCAGGTGGCGCCCGTGGTATTGGCTTAGAAGTCTCAATAGCATTAGCAGAAGCAGGCGCTGATGTAAACCCCGAACCCTCAGCTTGTCAATATCAGCATGTACTAAGCCACGGAACAGGTCGCTCTGATCTATAATTCATCCAAGACCGCTGAGTCACTTGCAACGGAGATAGCAGCCAAGCACAACGTCAAAGCAGCCGCATACCAAGCTGACGTGGCGAACCAAGAGGAAATCGAAAAGGCAATCAAGCAAATCGCCGCGGACTTTGGGAAACTAGATATCATTGTCGCAAACTCAGGAATCTGTTCCAATGTGCCCGCGGTGGACTATACTACCGAACAATGGCATAATATTACCAAGGTCAACTTGGACGGTGCATTTTATACAGCCCAGGCCGCGGCCCGGATCTTCAAGGAGCAAGGATATGGAAATGTTATTTTCACGGCGTCCGTCAGCGCGACGTTGGTGAACGTGCCTCAGAAGCAAGCTGCCGTGAGTGGGTTCCTGTGGAGACACGTGCTGGGCTAACGATCGTAGTATAATGCCTCGAAGGCTGCAGTTGTGCAGATGGCTAAGTGTCTATCTGTTGAATGGGTGGACTTCTGTCGTGTGAACTGTATCTCTCCTGGGTTTATCGCCACGGATATTCTGGATATCCATCCTAAGGAATGGCGGGAGAAGTGGTTTGATATGATTCCGGCTAAGCGGATGGCCGAGGCTTATGAGCTCAAGGGTGTAAGTGTATACCTGCTGTACATGGAAGTGATTGCTAATATGGTTGATAGGCGTATGTATTCTGTGCTTCTGATGCGTCGAGCTATATGACTGGTGCGAATATTGTGATTGACGGCGGCTATACTTTACTTTGATACATTCTGGGTTTGAGGTTGATTTAATATTTCTCTGACTTGAGCATGAAGTGTCAGGATAGTGTTGGAACTTACCGTCAAGTCTATCCGCCTGTTGGCTGGGTGTATGTAGCCAATCCCTTTAATTTCTTTTTGTGACTCTTTCTCTATTATTCTTTCGTTGAAGAATACTTCTCGTAGCTCTATTCAAATAAAAGCGGGTAGAAATAATATGTAACACATCACTCAGTGACAGAATAAATGGCAACCTCCCAAGTTCGCTTGTACATGACCCGAAAAAGGAAACCCTAATCCGCGAGAAATGTCACTCTATGAACACATACACTAACCTTCACCCTCACCAGAGTAGAACACGACGCTAAAGAAGACAGCCATGCGTCATCCCACGCATGATGTGGCTATGCTCCGGCCTTCCAAACCCGCCTGCAGCATTGCGCCAATGAACACGGGCAGTTCCATCCGATATCGCGGGTAAGCGCCGACTACGTGGCTGCCATGCGCTCCACTCAACACCAATCGCATGAAACCTTCTCTGATGTGTCACCGAGGAGTTCGCCTCGCCTACCAGAATCGTAGGCAGAGACAGGCACACCGGGATCTTCCAATCTGATATGCCCAAAGTGCGGGGCGATTTCCGGTGCAGATAATGTGGCCCCAAACCTTTCTTTGTTAGCGGTCAACGCAGCCTGTGTCAAGATTCCGAACGATGCTGGTCACTGGTGCCCTATTTCTGCCTGCGTAGTGCTGCGTTTTCGCTCATGCGATTTGCTGTGTGTGGTTTTATCTTGACTGGCTGTCCCCTGTCTGCCTTCCGGCTGCTTGCAGGGAAGACGTAGTTTTTCGACGAGTGATAAAAGAGGGGTTGGCGCTCTTTTCGTCTAATTTCTTTATTTGTTTGCGGGAATAAGTGTCGGTGTTTTTATCTGATTTCTTGATCAAGCTGTCACAGAGAAACATTTCTACCTCCCATGTCGGGCCGAAATATCAACCTCCTCAGCCTAGATGGCGGGGGCGTGCGAGGTCTCTCTTCACTTATCATTCTGAAGGAGATCATGGAATCCATAGATCGAGAGAATCCCCCCAAGCCATGCGATTACTTTGATCTGATAGGAGGCAGCGGGTCGGGTGGGTTCGTTCACCGGTCAGGGTTGTGACCCAATAATACATAGTGCTCACCATATATCACAGGTTAATAGCGATCATGCTTGGGCGTCTGGAAATGGATATCGACCAGTGCATCCACGCCTACAAGCTGCTATCGCAGAACGTGTTCTCCCAGAAGAGACTCCTACCAATCGGTAGCAATCTGCGCAGTCGCGCGAAATACGATGTTAAGAAGGTCGAGATGGCATTGCGGAAGATCCTGCGGGAGCTGAGCTATGAGAAGGATGTTCTGCTAAGGGAAGAGGCTGGGTGTAAGGTGTAAGTAGTCTTTGACTCTTGTAGTTGGTTGCGATGTTCCTGGTGTCGCTCTGGCGGGCCGCTAATTCCAAGAATAGATTTGTCTGCGCCACCGACGATACTAATCGCAGACTGGTCCACTTGACAAGTTACCCGAGCAAATACTGCTCGAATGAACTCTTCAAGTCTGCGAAGGTCTATGAAGCCGGTGCGGCTTCCTTTGCTCACTCGCCGCTTTTCGACTCCGTTAAGATCGGGCCCAGCGGGCGGCGGTTTCATGATAGCAGTTTGGAAGCTAACAACCCGATGAGAGAAGTTTGGATCGAAGCGAGAGGCGTGTGGCCGGCGGGGGCCTTGGAGAATCATTTAAAATGCATGGTTTCGATTGGAACTGGGGAGCCGTCGATCAAGCGGTCTCGCAGACGACTGTTTGGCTTGGTCAAAGGGACCGATGTCGATATTGTGGACCCGGACATTGATACGAATCGGTTCATTCAGGAACATACCGAGCTAGATGACGAGAATCGGTTATTCCGGTTCGATGTTCCGAACGGCCTGGGGGAGATTGATCTGGATAGTCTAGAAGAGATGGAGACTATCGTCGACGCCACTCACGATTATCTTGAAAAGGAGCTTGTATATAAGCAGATACGGAGGTGTGGAAGGGCACTTAGTTGATCTCAACTTATGGATAGAGTGAGAATGACTCGGGGGCTTTTTGATTTGGTTGGTTCCTTGCGTTCTGGTCGGCTTTTTGAAGTTTTGTGGCGGCAAGTGTCTTTCGGGCTCATTTTTTGTTGATATAATTGATATACTCTAATCCGCGGATCCATCGGTTACTATAGCTTATTGCCCAGGAAACCCTCTTATAGACACCGGTAACTACGTACAGTACGTAGAGTCAACGTAGACCTAGAAGGAGAATAATTCATAACTATCATGGAATAGACCTATATCAGTACATCACCAGCGAAACATCCATATAGTATCATAACATTTCATGCAGACACAATATGCTGCCTGAACTACTTCAAATAGAAAGCCAGGTCAGCGCCAGGGACTCGCTCAAACGCCAGTTGTCCATTCCCCATGAATCTGAAGGGATTGGTGGTATTATATTGGATCTCAAAATCCTCGGGGCGAATCTTTTCCATACAGGCTACATAGACCGTTAGCAGCATCGATAAGTGTTGGAACGGCCGACATACCTTTGAAATGAAGTGCACTTCCTGGATACATGGCAGTGACAGTGTTGTCGGCTCCTTCGTTCCTTTTACTGTACCAGGCATGACAGCCCTTGGACCAGACACAGCGCTTCAGGGTTTCTTGCGCAAATTTGTTATAATCACGGACCACGGAGTCTTTCACTACGACCGATCTGGAGGATGTTAGTTCTGACAAGGAGTCGATGGGAAACAAGACAAATCCGTACTTGATATCCTCCACCGCAATCTTCTTGATCCATTGCAACATATAGTCAGCGGAGGAGTCGAGTGCCGCAGGCAAAGAGCCATGGCCAATGGGGTAGTTTGGTCCACCAAACATAAAATAGTTGGGAACTCCGCCAGCACATGTCGCAAAGTATGCTTCTGGTATGTCCTTCCACTCCTCATCAAGGCGGCGACCGTCACGGCCGATTAGCTCCCAGGGAGGAATGAATGAGTAGTCAAAGCCAGTCGCGCAGACGATCAAGTCAAATTCCTCTTCTCCTTCGTCCGTCTCGATTCCGTTGGGTGTAATGCGATTGATATTACTCAAGGTGATCCTGGCGTTGTCTTCCTGGATAGCCTCCAGATAGCCGTCGCCGGGACTAATACGTCGACATCCAACCTCGTACGCCGGTATCAGTGTCTTGAGCAGCTCTGGGCTTTTGGACAGGCGGCTTCGCATTACCCCATGTACCACCTCATAAAGGGCCTTATTTTCCTCAGATCCCGAGATCATCCAGGCATACACGCTATTGACACTGCAGTCGATCCCATGTCAGCCACATGTTAAGCTAAAATACCGAAGAGAAACATACGCCCCCTCAATGGATTTTCTATACTCCAGAAGTTTTTCTGGATCGTCCTGGAATTGCTGCTTTTCCTCTGATGTGAATTGGAAGTTCGTACCCATCCCGTCCCTCGTCAATTGGCCACAGAGGTTGGGGGAAATCCAAGTAGCATGTCGAATGTAGTTCACTAGCTTTGCGGCTTTGGGTTGAAGAGAAGGAATTATCTGAATTCCAGATGAGCCGTTGCCGAGGACTGCGATTTTCTTGCCCTCGTAGTTGTATTCCAGGTCCCTGGTGATGTCAGCTATTGTTCACGCCACTACTACATGGACAAATTGAGCCTACCATCGAGCAGTATGAAGCAGCTTTCCTTTAAAAGTATCCAGACCCTCGATATTGGGCCATTTCCATTTACTGACATGGTTAGATTCCCTCCACAGAAGCCATCGACGAAGACTTACTTCAAAACACCACTCCCATCCAGTACGATATCGGCCTCATCTTCCAGAACGAACTCACCCTGTTGCAATTGAAGCTTCCATTTCCCCTGCACCTCGCTCCAAATCGCCTTGACGAGCTTCGTATTGAACTTGACCTTCTCCTTCAGATCGTACTTGTCCGCTATGCTGACAATATACTCCTGGATCTCCTTCCCAGTGGCATAGTAGCTCGACCACGCGGGATTAGGCGCAAACGGGAACTGATAACTGTCTTCTTTGAGTCAGCCTTCCACTGAGGCCTTCTGGAAATTAAGCATCAACTCACGAACAGGAATATCACTAGCATCGTCAGCACACATCCATATCCACAGTAGACCAGGTTAAAGTACTCACCACGCCACGCCCGGATAGATATTCTCAAACCACGTGCCCCCGACCTCCGGATTCTTCTCGTAGATAGTGAAATCAACAAATTCCAGAGGCGTCTCGTGTTTGAGTTTATACGCAATCGTCAGACCAGAGAAACCTGCTCCAATACACACTACACGCAGCTTTCTCGGCGTGAAGGCAAAGACGGAGGGGTCGACTTTCCAGTCGTTCTGGGCTTCGCCATTGGACGCGGGGGCCTCGTTTAACGGCATTTTGAATTATTAAGCGATGGGCATATGGGTAGCAGAGGACCAGGTAGTTCGTCTGGGGTCGGGGGTATCGGCTCCCTTATATGGAGGGATGGGACTAAGTATCGCCAAGTAGAAGGCTGTGAAATCGCGAGGCTGTGACATGACTCGGGACTGACAGCTGCTCGCTTGCCAGGACCGGATGTTAGAGGCCAGATCTTAGGGTGAAGCAGAGTTTGCCCCGTTCTGTTAGTGCTAGAGTTAGAACTTTAGGGCATTGTTGATCGTTGATCTACCCGGCTCAAGCCGTGTTGGATTACGTTGGTCAGTGGGTTGCGTTACATTTCGTGGGCTGTTAAACTATGAGTAATTAACTAATATAAAACACGGGAAAAGCGAGTAGAAGAGCAAACGAATAAAATTGAGGCAAAAATAAATTATGAAGTGGCTGCCATGTAGCTCTTAGCAGTATCTATGTGTCGCTAGACTGCTCCAGGGCTCTGGCCATAAAGTGCAAAGCAATTGTTCCGGTTCCCCAAGACTCCACTTTTTGATACTGACACATGTCTCCATGCAGCGTAGCATTGGCCTGCTCGTCAAAGAACGGAGGGGTTACTGGGTTACAGAATTCTCTCCGACGTGCAGTAGCGGCGACGGCGGAGGCCAATCGTTCATTAGCAGGATGGCTCTAACGGCCACTAACGAGCTGCGTCGAGTGGAGCTGCAGGGACTCGCTTCCGCCGTACCGAGATGATCATGCAATAGACAACACTACGTGTTCTCTATTCCCTGCTACTGCAGATGAGAACATTATGGTGCAGGATTTGCATGCAAGCCAGTCCAGATATGTAAAGCGTGCCTGGAGACCGTATGCACGTCGTCAAAAGTAGCCCGGAGAACCCTGTTATTCCTTAGCAGTTCCTCGGCTGTCCCAGCCGGTGCTACTTTTCCAGCTCGGCTTTAGTGTAGGCCGCGGAAGCGTGAAGTGAGAAGTGCCTTGGGTGAACCGCCACCAGACCTTGAGCTCACCGAGACACACGCAGAGAAGAATGCAATTGCCACTGCTGTCTATATTCTTGCGGTCTTGGCAATCGTAGCGCGAGTCATTGCCAGAATACGGGTCTATTCAGTTCAATAATCAGTTTCAATGGAGGGAGCAACATGAGTCTATCAAAATGGCGTAGAATGTAGTAATGTGGTAACGACTACAAACGGACTAATTGTTATATATAGATGAAATACATACGCAGCACTGCGCGTTACATACGTACACGTCTAGAATCAGGACTTAAACGGATCATGTCCCCAGTTCTTCAACGACCGATGGCTCTTGCTGTTCGGATCCTGCTTGGCTTTCTCCTCCTGCGCCAAATGCCGCTTACAATACGACACGACTCGTCGCATGTGATCGATGTCCTGGTCGGAGTATCCATCTGGATCCTTGGACGGGTTATGCTCTAGGATGTCGACAATCTTGCGACCACTATACTTGGTTAGTTTTTATCCAATACTTGTTGAAGGGGTATGTGAGTAGAAGAGACCTTTCATGTCCAATTGTCTCTCCGGATTCACCACTCCACCCGGACGACTGCGACTGCTCTTCTTTGAGCCAGTTACGGAGTTCATTGGGGGTCATGTTGACCAGGTCGTTGAATTCCCTGGTGGCCAATTAGCTTGGATTAGGGCTGAAACGGAAGGGCAGTGTACTCGATGACGGTGTCCTTGTCTTTGACCATTGTGATTATTGTTCTAGGGAGTCGTGCTATTCTTTAATGATGTTGGTTATTGACCTTTGGCTTGTCGGTAGGAGTCTGCGATGTATTTATGCCGGAATAGAGCTGACGTCATGGATGGGTTTGGATGGAATTGAGTTCATTATGATGCTCCGCGGTTCGTTAAACGTCGCCTCCCGGAAGTCAATCTGGGTTAAGGTGTAGCTATGCGGTCATAGAGGACAAGTCGAAGCAATGAGCCGGTTAGTAGATGTAAACAAGGATGAATATCATAGCATACATCTGTCATACTATCTAATACTCTGCTGACAAGGATCTGTATACAACCTTTATCAATTTTAGACCAGGTGTCAAGTCTTTTATCCGTGCCCCGGCGGCTCAACCCTACCTCTCCCATTTCCACATAGGCTGAAGAATATCCAAATTGCATTGTGACTGTAACAACTACCCCTGGCATTACAGCTAGAACATAGAATTGTGAGCAGGCAGCTCACGCAGAGATCACCCTCTCAGCCTTTCCCCCTCCATACCGACCAGAGGTGATCGAGTAAAAGATCTCTCCGGCAAGGCATTCAGCCAACGCCTTCGCGAACCGGATCTGACCATCATTCAAGAGGCCCGACAATATTAGCCTTTTAAACTCCACGGAAAACTCACACTCCGCGTCCAAAATAAATCCCCGGGCAAGCTGCTTCGCCGTTACCAGAGAGACCTAAGATGATTCCCACCAACACAGTCACAAGGAACCGGCTTCCCACCCCAGGTGAATGAATAAAACCTCTGAGCCCGAAGGGCAGGAAATTCGAAAATAGAGAATCCTTTTACTTTTCTTTGTGTAATCAATGGCTACAGGTTTGGATTCGGCTCCTTCTATGGTCATTTGTCATATATGTTATATAGTATAAACAGCAACGACAAAGATGTATGAATATATGACATCTCAAAATAGAATATAAATATTAAAGAGAGGTGAGAAACCTTTTGTATTCCGTACAGCAGTTCTACATTGCAAGCTTCCCGTTTTAAGATCCCTTGGTTGACAGCTAGTTTAGGAGAAATCAGCACCTGGAGATATCAAACAACTCCCATAGGTCCCCTATGTCAACACCAAGATTCAGACATTAAAATCCACAACACAGCGCCCTCTAACCTTCCCCTGCCTTAGTTGGCTCACTGCATTTGGTAATTCCTGTAAACTGAACAACTCATACATCGGCTTAAGCAACCCCCGTGCAGCCAGCGACAAAGCTCCAGCCGTATCCTGACGTGACCCCGTGAGAGAGCCCACGACCTTCAAGTTATTCAGGATGAGATACATGGGATCATCCCCTGCAAATGCTGTGCCAGCGGCAGGCATGCCAACACAAACAACCACGCCTCCCACACGAAGCATACGAGGCGCTACGCGGTATGCAGCAGCAGCCGATGCGGTCACAAGCACACCGTGCGCACCTTTCCCATCGGCTATATTGCGTACATCCTGGCTCAAATTGGTAGACTTTTGTTGGTCTATAAAGGCTTCGCAGCCGAGATTTAGACAAAGCGTTTTCTTGTCTTTACCTGCGTCGATGCCAATAACCCTCAGACCCATTGCCTTCGCTATTTGCACCCCCATATGTCCTACTCCGCCACCGGCTCCCATTATAACTGCCCATTGGCCTGTACGCAGATTCGATTCTCGGAGCTAATAATGGAGTGGGATATGGTGTTAGCGATATTCCTGCTATTCAGAGAAGGGAGTCAGGTAAGGGGTGTGTACTGCTCTGAACATGGTTGATCCGCTGCACATGATGGGGCCGGCAGAGAAATCGTCAACGCCGTTCGGAATGCGGGTTGTGTATCGTGCTGGACTGACGATATATTGTTGATATGTGCCTATCTTCATGGTTAGAAAGCAATACTACAAGCTTATTTGGTTCTTTCTTCTCAGGATCCTACCAGAAACCTTCAATCCAGTCGGCACAGCATGCGAGCAATGACATTCCAGCTCAGAAGAGCACAAATCACAGCTCATACAAGTATCCCAAGTGGGCGCAATTCCAGCTCGATCCCCTAGCTTCCACCCATTCACATCACAACCAAGAGCGACTACGACGCCTGCACCCTCATGGCCTGGAGATCGAACGCCGTAATCGCGCATTCGCGGAAGGGGCAGATCTTCCAACATATAATGAATGTCACTGTAGCATAGTCCGGTCACGTTAAGTTTAATCAGTAGTTGGTCAGGGCCTGAGAGGGTAAAATATCAGCAACTTTGATTCGGGCATATGCTCATAAGATGGAAGGGCTTACTTACCTGGCGTTGGTACAGGGACATCTTCAACTGTCAGCTGGTAGTCAGGGCCATTGTTGGAAACGACTCCGGCTTTGCACTGTTCAGGTATTGGCAATTGAGGGTCCATGTTATTCGATGTCTACGTTGGAGGCTGTATTGGTAGTGATGCAAGCTAGAGGAGTGGCACTATATTTATAAAGAGATATCAAGAGTGTGGGGATGAGTGTCACAAGGAGAGGTTAATACCAGGCAGTAAGATGTGGAGTCTAACCATCAGACCGAATAGAATAAAGCCATTCCAAAATTTTCTCCTGCCATCTTAATGTAGGATTTGTCCGGGGTAGAGGGGCGCTGTTGCGTGGGGATAGCAGCATACAAGTTTCCCAGTCCGTCGACTAATTAGGTAACCCGTCCCGGTGGGTCTCGGATGGTCGATACTTACGGAGTACATATCGGCAGCAGCTGTACTTCACAACGTGGACGCTTTGATGACAGACATCTCATCATGAATATTGTGCTAGATACAGATAAGGTACTTTTGCAAAACTGGAAAATCTCAGTGAGATGGGTGCACCTGAACTAAACTCAATTGTTTTTATTTCGTGAACCTCCCTGCTGCTAAAAGCTCGATGCACAATACGTAACACTTATAGAAAATAAAGCCGTCAATGCAATCTGAGAAGTTGGGATATGATAGTCCTCAAATTCAAGAAGTTAAATACATGGGCGCTAAAAGTTTACACATCATAGGCTCCTCACGCGGAAGCAGACTGAGCTATCTGAGAGGTATCAACAGCGCTGTTGTAAAGGCTCCAATGCCTTCCTCCTGGTTATAGTTAGTTGAAGGCCTTGATTGTTCCAACCTTTTAGAGCAGCCTGGTATAAGACATTCCGCTGATGCCGGGACGGGGCCTACTATTGCTTGCCACGATGCTGACGCGATCCAGAAATTTCGATAAGAGTGGCGTTATCACCCGGTCTGCGATGATTTTGCCGTCTAGATCATGTGTATCCGCCAAGTTCGAGCACTTCCATTGAGATGGCCTTGAGTAGTGAGGGTATTGTAGTTAAAGAAGGATTAAATATTGGATCTAAAAGAAGATATCTAAATCAAGGGACAATTAGGCGGGCTTGGTCGAAAAGCTATTTGGGAGATCACCCCGCTTAGAAACACAGGTCCGCCGTTATTTCTCACTCCACAAAGCATTAGATGGTACCAATTACGGGAGTTAAGAAGAAAATCAAATATGTGGCAGGTTACCTGGCTCGGTATATCAGGAAATCCGTTTAGCAGAACAAGTTTTAAAAGAGGAAATCACCGCCACTGGTGACAATCATTTCTGCTTCTCGCTTTACCGGAAAAGGTATTCTGTTCCGGCGGCCTTCCTGCCTTATTCCATATGCCCCTGGCCCCCAGTATGTGATTATAGAGAACCAATCATGCACGATTTTCCAACCGTAGTGGTATCTTTGTCGTATGCTTAAGGTTCCTACATCAATGAACAATAAGGAAGAAAGAGACAACGAGCTTCGGTCGAGAACGATCGGGTAAATGACCCTGTCCAATTCGGCAGTTCTCTGGCAAAACCCTAAGCGGTGATAGCGCCGATTGGTGCCTTTTTACCGGGAAGGTGGGGATGATCCTATTTGAGCAGATTTTGATTAGATTAACTTCCGGCATGGCGCCAAGCGGTCGGGCCAGCTGTGTTGCACAGAATAATATTCGGGTTCATCAGGCCAAGATCCGAAAGCGATTCGCCTTCATACGAGTCATTTGCTTTGGGCGCTCCCATGAATCGATGAATCCCAATTAATCATACAGCTATAAACTTGACACAGGCCAAGTGACCCACTGTCTCATTCCCAGACAACTGCAAATCAAATAGTTCTGGCCAAAGCGTTCTTGGCATTGCACTTGAGCATATTTTCTCCTTGGCAGCCCACTTTTTAACGTATGTGTCTTAACGACTTTTCGCGACGGCGGGTACAGTTTAATATGGACATCCCCCGCAGCCATCCAGCATGTTCGTTTTCCTCCTCTCCAGAGTCCAGCAACGTTCGTCCCATCTCTCGAGCATTGACGACTCGAGATGCTCTCCCCGCGCCATGCTCATGATATCCCGGATAGTGGCCCCGGCGTTGAACACCACTGGGGATACTATAATCGCCAACTCCCCTGTACCAGTGGTGAGGGAAAGTGTGCATATCTAGATACGGTCTATCACAGTCATGATTTGTCGATACTGTACAGTGCTATTCTCTGGGCGGTCATTCTTGGAATTGTATTCCTTTGCTTCATTGGCCATTACTGCAATCCTATCACACGCAAGTCTACATCTTCATGCATTCAGAAAGAGGGGGAACATGAAAATAGATCACAGAGCTCAATGTATCGCATGAGCAGATCACTTGGCTCGATATACCACCGCTACTTTGTCCAGGAATCCCTAACCCCTCTATTCGGCCGCACCACTCGGTTTAATATCCTCGTCCTCGCCATTCTAGCCGGCTATCTCATCATTTTCAGCTTTGTTGGAATCGTTTACAAAACATGGTACATCCCTGTCAAGGGAACCAACTTGCGCTCGACTCCCACGGGAATTGGTCCGTGGGCAGATCGCCTTGGAGTTCTCGCATACGCCTTAACGCCCCTCGCTGTGCTTCTGTGTACCAGGGAATCCCTCCTTTCCCTCTGTACGGGAATACCTTACCATCACTTCAACTTTCTCCATCGCTGGCTCGGCTGGATTATTTACATCCAATCTGCTCTTCACACCTTCGGCTGGACCCTCATGGAGGGGAAGCTGTACCAGCCGCAACCCTCAACATGGAACGCTTTTATAGCTCAGGAGTACATGATCTGGGGCATCGTAGCCATGATATTCCTGTCATTCCTGGTCTTCTTCAGTACCAAATGGGCCATCCGCCTCACGGGGTACGAGTTCTTCCGCAAAGCGCATTATGTCGTAGCCATGCTATACGTGGGTGCTTGCTGGGGACACTGGGAGCAGCTTTCATGCTGGATGATCGCGTCATTGGTCGTGTGGTTGCTCGACCGGGCCATTCGGCTGTTGCGGACGTTCTTCACACACTTCGGCCCGCACACTTCAGAAACGTTCTCCTTCTGGGGTCTGCACATCCCCAAAGCTCGCATAGTCTCCTTTCCCAACGATGAAGACGGAGACGTCGTCCGTCTAGATTTCGACCACGAACACAGCCCTTGGGAAATCGGTCAGCATTTTTACCTGTGCTTCCCCGGGCTTAGCATCTGGCAATCGCACCCCATGACGCCATCCTCTGTGCCTGGCGGCTCCAAGCAATCCCACACGTACATCATCCGCGCGAAGAAGGGTTTAACCCAGGACTTGGCTCGCATCGCCCGTCAGCCCCAGGGCTCAAACTGGGACGAACCACCAAGCACATCCATCGTTCTTTCTGGGCCATACGGACAATCCATCGTCGACAACGACCTCCACTGCTCAGACGACATCAACCTTTTCTGTGTTGCAGGCGGCACAGGTGTGACATTCGTTCTCCCCATACTGCAAGCTATAGTATTAAATCGATTCTTCTCCACCCGAAGAAGCATAGTCGAGCTTGTGTGGATCGTCCGCCGCAAGTCAGACATGCGGTGGCTCAGCGAGGAACTGGAAGTACTGCGTACCGCCGCACAAGCATGCACCCATTTCCGGATTCGGGTGTACGTTACGCGCGAAGACGACCGGGCCAATATTCGAAACTCCTTCACACCGGCATATATCACCGATTCCGAGATCAAGAGACCGCTATCTACTGTTGCTCACGACGCTCCTTTGTCGGATAACCCGTTCTCGGTGCATTGCTTGCGGCCCGGGAATTCCGGCACCTCGGTACACCCTGATGTGCCGGCGGACCTGACTGGTTTCGTGCAGCGCACTGTTCAGGGTCCAACACGTGTCATCGCTAGCGGGCCGGCGGGGTTGATCTCCTCGCTTCGCACGACTGTGGCGGCGCTCAATGATCCAGGTCGGGTATGGAAGGGTAATGAGAGATACGATGTGGAGCTGGTTCATGATGATCGGTTGGAGTACTGATCTTGTTTTCCTACTCTTTGCTTAACGGTTTTAGGTTCTTGGTAGCATTTTGTTGTATATATTTGCCTTGCATTGTATCGCCTTCCTGCCGGTCATGAAGGAGTACCTTGTCGATTTATTTTTGTATATATACCCACACGCAAAAGACAGTTCCATTTAATTCCGTCAACCAATATACTAAATAGAATACAACAAATATACTATATACAAACCGAATAGATGGAATTGATTACCAATATCCTCTCCTTTATCCTCCATTTTTACATTTCCCGAGCCATTCCGAGCCTGCCGCTCCCCTCTCAGAATCACCGTATAAATCCCGGTACAGCTCTTCTTTGTCTAGGATGTTTTGAAGGTCCGCTGGGAGCGAGGAGCTGCAGCGTTGGGAGGATGCCTTGGTGGATTGCTTGGACTGGTTGGACATTATGGATTCGATGAGTCGACCTGGATGTATGATATATAGGATATTCTGGTATGACAGAAGAGCGACTTCTTTAAAGATATATCGAGTTCGTTATGTGGTTTTGCTTGTTATGGGTTAGGAACTGGATTACCAAACGGTTATATAGGAACCGGTATGTATGACTGCATCAGTCGATTCCTGTCGTTTTGCCACAATCATATTGATCTTTTGGGTCTGGCATTATAAGAGGTTCCTTTATACGAGGGGCTATCTGATGGTCTTGAACACGTCCTGTGATGTCAGGGCCGAGTTATTTCCGAGTTATCATCATAGGATTGATTATATCACGGAGGAATGATATCAAGTATTGCATTCCATGTAGGTATCATGCATATGAAACAGGATATCTCACTTGAGACCCGTTCACCAGCCCATCTTACATTAAACAAATCACAAACGCACCTCCAACCAAACCAACCTCCAACCTGACAGGCAAGAAGGCGAAGACAAGACAGGCCTACCTCCCCATAATCACCCCAACAACATCCTCAAACCCATTCTTCCTCGCTTCCACCACAGCCGTCTCACTCCACTCGCCCCTCGCCTCAACATTGGCCCCCCTCTCCACCAAAAACCGCACAACGCTCACAAACCCACTCCCCGACGCCAAAACAAGCGGCGTCCCGAAAGGTCCCGCCAGGTTCACATCCGCCCCGGAATCGACAAGCACCTTGACAGTATCCAGATGTCCCGCCAAGGACGCGGCGGCCAGCGCGCTCCCGCTTGGTCCCCTACTATCTAGGGGAGCACCGGTGTCAAGGAGCGCTGCAACGATGTTGGTTAGGCCAAATGACGCAGCGTAGTAGATTGGATGTGGGTGGCGGATCAGACCGGACCCATCGGTTCCAGAAAAAGGTTCGTATCCATCCAGAAAAGCTGTCCAGTTTAGGTATGCTGTTCCTGAGTTGAGGAAGCGGAGGACTAGCGCCGTTAGTTCTGGGTCTGTTTCTGGACGGGCTAAGCGGGCATGCACGGCCCAGTAGTTTGTTGCGTAGCTTAGTAGGTACGAGGTTTTGATTTTGCTCGGGGTTGTGGTGTACGGTTCTGTGAATTGGAGTAGGTAGGTTAGACTGTCTTTCGCGATGGTGGCTTGGGATGTGGATTCTGTTATTGCGAGTTGTTTTTCTGCGGTGGTTTGGATCTCGGGGGATTGGAGGTATTGTTTTATTGAGGAGTTTGTGAAGTGGACTTGGTGCTGGTTCGGTTTGAAGTCGTCTTGGGGGTCCGGATTACTGGGTACTGGTGGTGTGGTTGTTACGAGGGTACCCGGACATATGGCGAGGATGGCGCGTGGGTCGGCGAGGCGTTTATCAACGTCGGTACCAGTTTCTGAGATGACGACTAGCTCTGCGAGTTCTTCGATATAGAGCGTTCGGGTGGAATGTGCGAGCCACTGGAGGATTCTCGAGACGAGCTGGGTGGATTCGGTGGACGATACTTCCTCTGCGGAGGAGCCTTGTTCTTCTGACGGGTCTGGAGCTTCTTCTGATAAGCCTGGAGCAACATATCGTATGGCATTGAACGACCAGGAACTGCTCGCTTCGCAGCTATAGAATGAGCCTTACAGGTCAACGACCGAGCGCACCGAGCGCCGTCCGGCAGAGTGACTGCGCACTGCTGCTCGACGTCGACGGAGCGGGATTGCAGGTCCTTGGTGGTGGAGGACATTTTTGGGCAAGAATATTACTACCCGTTCATAGATGCATGAAATTCGAGAGTAGGTGAAAGTCGAGATATATATGTGGTGGACACTATTGAGCAATAAACGCCTTGTTGATCGTCTCAGCCTTGCATCGATCACCGCTGACCCCGCTGTGGCTTAGCATAGAGTTAGGCTGATATTGACCCACTCGTGACACAGACGCCATTCCAACACTCTTATCCAAGATAACAGACTTCGAACGAGTGGTAACAGACATAAAGTATGCTCTAGTTATGCAGTTTAGGATGCAACTGCATTAAAAGTCAGCTAGCATGTGGAGGTCAGAACCCACAGACTCCTGTACGGTCAACGACGGCATCTTCCCCACAATCACGGTATCCACAAGAAAGCCCTATTCACCATGATAGAGTATTCCTCTGGCACACAAGAATGACATGTTTCACCGCGTTGGACATATCCGATACCGGAATCCATGGTGCACGACAGATCACTTGGCCCGTTTCCGGGTATCCGGAGTCACTGAGCCGAGACCGAGGACTATCTCTACAAAAGCCGTGGAATCTTCACCATTACTCTCCTCTCAAGTATTCATTATGTCCGTCGGCTCGGTTCGTTGACCGTTCCGACTTACCCGTGGATGCTGCTCGAGGGGTAGTTTGATTAAGCTCAACAACCGAGGCAACGGTTCCCCGAAGCGCCTCCAGGCGGGAGAGAATATCCGTAGCAGCATCGGAGACATTGCCGGTGAATCGCAAGTAGGCATGACACTCAACCTCCAGCTACGAGGTGTCTAGCTTGGATTGAAAAAGGTAGCGAGATTGACCGGATTGCATATGACTGGATGAAGCAGGCTGAGGTCCTGAGGAAGAGTGCAATATCTGGAAATAGCGAGGGCAGAGAGGACTTTGATGATTAATTTTCAAATAAGGTGAGGTTGAAACAAACCCCGTTCGTTAAAGTGGGAGCTGTCCCCAAGCCCCTAGGTATCCTCCTTTCTAGCTAGCTTAGGGCTTATGTCGCTAGGGACGACCACGGAGTCATCTCACATATTGAGCAGACTATTAGCACCATATATTCCAAGTAGGAGGCGCTTGGTTGCCCCAGCGAGCAAAATAGTCTTTCTCAATCGTATATAGCTATCTACTCGTGTGTCTTGGCTCTAGCCTAGGCACTAGGCAACTCCTGCTGACAGCTTTCCGTATTGGGCTATGTGCATTATCTATGGTAACATTCTTTGAAAAATAGACATGGTGAAAGACGATTCCCTAGTCCCTTTAAGGTCCCTTCCATCCCGTCCAGCTTCGGTTGCCCCGCGCTTGTGACTTGCCACAGGTATTACTACCACATGATATAAAAAGTTTTTACAAAAGAATTCACGACCATGGAAGACGAGATGGCAGAGTATAAACTTAGCAAAGGCCGTATTTCAGAAGAAACGACAAAAGAAAAGAGAATCGCATTGGGTAGAATTGCGGCTGGCACAGTTGCTAAGCAGAATGTTATAGCAGGTATAGGTCGTCATTGCCTGGATTCTAAGCCACGGGTAAACATGTCAGATGTGTGGATAATGGCGCAAGTTTAGATGGAGACGGGGGTAAGGAGGCTTCAGTAGCCCTGTTCTCCACGCAATCTACCACTCAGTACTTACTGTACATAGTATTTAGTAACTAATCCATCGATCTGAGTTGATCTATAACCCACTTTGACCGTCAAGACTTAACAGCCTCTTCGACACGTGACCAGTGGTAGACCTAGACGAAAATCCCGTCGGTACTCACATGAATTCTTAGGGCACTGTACATACGTATATCCTGGCTCTTAATTGTGTATTCTACATAGGAAGCTTTCTAGCGTCTCTAGTCGGTCAGGATTGAGATACGGAAGGTGAAAAAATAGAAATGCAAAAAGACAAGCCGAACGCGGGGGTCGAACCCGCAACCTTGAGATACCGTGAAGACTAAGAGTCTCACGCTCTACCGATTGAGCTAGCCCGGCTGGTTGTTGAAATAAGCTCGCATTTTATGCTAAATAAGTCTAAATTACCTACTATACCCTGTATTCGACAAGAGTAATTTTAAGCTTTAGGTATCTTACTTATGTTCCTTTATATACTCAGAGAATATGTGCTCCGTTAGTTAATATACTAGCTCAAATATAGTTTCTTTGATGAGTCTGATCTCAATAATTAGTGTACACATTTATCGAGGAAGTAGTTTTCTGCTGGGCTAGCGAGTGTCTTCCAGAAGAGAATATATATTTCTGTATAGAGAACTGCATATTACTGGATGGCGATTCTGACGTGCATCCTGGATTATATGGATAAGATGGATATTTTCGATGCGAACAGCATAGGCGAGAAGTATCAAGTAATCTATCGTGCACTCAAAAAGGGAGAATTCTCAAGGATGTACATTCCTCCATAGGAGCCCCGCAGAGACCTAGCCCTAGGGCATCACCCATCAGCAACATAGAATCGATAATTACTAGACCTTTCCCTCTACAGCCATACTACCTTTCCTGGCTATCGGAATGATCAAGGTATTACGGACTGAGTAAGCGGAAGCGGCAGAGCAAATAGGCTGTGGACCGACTATATAGTTCTACTATGACCTCTCGGCAAAAGATCCACGACCCTGGGGCCCTCCCCCACAAACCCGACGGGGTGGTCACGGTCCACCAGGCCATGCGGGTGAGGCAAGATGCAAGGCACCCTAATCTCACATTTACGCAGTACGCAGCATATATCCTTGTCGGACACGATTAGACTGAATTGGCATGACGATAAATCCAAAGCGGTGTTAAAAGGTGGATCGCTTTTCTAGGGAGCCTGCTTGATCCATCTGCTAGGTACTGGAAAGACGCATATGAATAGAAAGCAGGTTCATAGATGTTCCCACACTACGCAAACGCGCTGGACGGTCTAGTCCAACTTGGAATTCTTGAACGGCTGGCGACTCGCGTCGAACTTGTGGTAAATGGTTAGCAATTATTCTCTGGGCGAAATAGGGGAGATCACTGTTTACTTTAACGTTACTGGCCTGGTCCAACACCACGGCTCGCTCTCCAAAACCAATCCATGTAGCCGGTAGATCAAGCGATGTGATTTTCTCCTCGAAGTCGGCCTGGGCATTGCGAATGGCCTCAATCGATCTTTTCCCACGCAATATCATGGTGAAGACCAATCGATAGCGCACCGGAGGCTCCCCTCCAAAATAAGCACCCAGATCAAATCCAGAATCAACAGGGACATTCACCAGCATCGACTGTATCTCCGGCGATGCATGACAAGCCAGAGATGATACCAGCTCCGAGATCAACGTTTCCGACGGGATTTCCGGGTCGCGAAGCGCAACGAAATACATAGCCACGAAGGTATTCTCGGCCTGCTGGTCCATCCCGGATGCGCGAGTGAAGGGTAGGGGCACTGCCTCCTCTCTCACGAACATTGGAAGGACCGCGCTGAAGTCGGAAAAGTTCACGCCATCGGGTCCCACTTTCTTGGACACCCATTCTGATTGAAAGACGCGCATCAGGTGTTCCGAAGAGTCAAAATAAAGCTCTGTAACGCCATCGCTAAATGCCCAGGGCGGGTGGGCATTCGGGACATTATGCGATGTGTCCGCATGGTACGCTGCGTCAACGAAATGTGTCTGGAAGTACTTCCTGCACTCTTGTTAGCGGCCAGGAAAAGGTGAAGAGGAGGCTCGCCTACCCAGGAGTCTCTGCGGCAGTCGGCGCAGTACTGATTGCACCGTGCTTTTGATAGTGATAGTCAAAGTATTCGTCCTTTGTTAGACCTGCCTTGCGGCGCAGGACGACCAATTGCTTGATAGGGACCATCGTATTATACTCTATACTCCACGAGGTACTCGACTTGAATTGGTTATGAAGGAGAGACCTGGAGAACCGAAATGCAGCAAGTATTTATGGCCCACCAAGTAAGGAAGCAAAGCTATATCTTGCGGCCCATACAAGGAAGGGAACCTCTCCACCGCTACGGCTGGGGGTGGACATCCCGAGTCGTGGCCTGAACTCTCATATAACTCTGACTACATCACGCTTTCAAATATGGATATGACTGCATTTGTGCACCTCCGCCATGCACCCATCGATGCCGGCCTGGTCATCACCCCGTCGGCCCCGTCGGCCCCTCGGAGTTTGCGGCGGGCTTCCCCACATTGATCAACATGCTGTGCTCAACTCCATAAAAACGTCACGACTCACCAGTCACCGCAAAGTTCACCCGTCAACTACTTAAGTCGACACCCAGATTGTTCCAGAAGCCTGAGTGAATAATCTTCGGCGCTGCTTTCTAGTCCCACATCCATTTCTCTACCTTACTCGCATGACCATGGCCGTGACTCGCCCAAAGTACCAGACATCTACATCGGATGTGGAAGGGTACACCCGCATTAAACATGTCTATGTGCCCATGCGCGATGGGATTGAGCTTTGTGCCGACCTCTTCCTCCCGTTTGCTGCATCAAAAGAGGCCAGGAAGGTGCCTGTCATTTGCAGCCTGGGACCATACGGCAAGGATATTCATGCCTCACGGTTTGGGTTGCCGAAGACCCCTATTTATGCGGAAATGTACAAGCACATAACACCTTTGGGGCCGGACGCTGCTTTTGAGCTGTGTGAGCCCACTATATGGGTACGTATAGCGGATATATGTGATGAGACTTGCTTTCGGGACTAAGCTTTCCTTCTTACAATTAACAGTGCAGGGAGTATGGGTACGCCCTTCTTCGGGTCGACACGCGCGGTATTGGGGGCAGCCAAGGGAAACTGGATCCCTTTGGCTTGGAACGATCCGTCAATATCCAAGCCGATGCGGAAGGGCAAGGTATTTGCTCCATGCCATCGAACCCTCGCGGGAATCTCACCGGTTTTGTCTAACCGCTCGTTCCATCGTGGCCAGATCTGTACGACATCGTTGAATGGGCGGCGGTGCAGTCGTGGTGTACCGGCAAAGTGGCCTTTTCAGGAATCAGCTATTTTGGGATGGTGGGCTATTGGGCGGCAATGCAGAGGCCACCGCACCTGAGTTGTGTCATGTCGTATGAATCCGCCTGCAGCATGTACCAGGTGGCCCGACGAGGGGGCATTTATAGCAACAATTTCCAGTCCCATTGGTACCACAACATTGTTGTGCCTTCCCAAGGTGGAGCGCAAGACGGTACGCTCAGCGAAGAAGAGCTCGCCGCGAATAGGGTGGACTACCCGAAACTGCTTTCAGAGACTGAATACCCCACAGACGGACCTTGGTCTGTACTGGAACGAGTCCGCAGGTTGTCAGACATTGAAGTCCCATTCTACAGCGCAGGAAACTGGACCGACCCGGAGCTCCACCTGCCCGGCAATCTTCGTGCTTTTAACGGCATAAGCTCCAAACACAAGTGGCTTGAAATGCACACGGGAAACCATCTAGGAGCCTTTTACGAGCCTGAGCATATCAAACTACAGAAGCTGTTCCTCGACTGCTTCCTTTTCGACAAAACAGACAATGGAATATTTGATGTTCCTCGAATTCGATTGCTTCAGCATCATGGCACCGAGACCTTCTATCGAGAGCATGAGCTGGCTTTCCCTCCGCCTGACGCTGAAGATACCAGCTTGTACTTGACCCCTGGCAAAAAACTGTCTCTTGAAAGGCCGACCGAGGCAAAAGTCGCATTCACCTACCAAGCTCTCAGGGATAATCTTATGTTCGAACTGAATGCTGCATTTTCAGAATCCTTTGAGCTCCTGGGCTCCCCATACATGGAGCTTGAGGTCAGCACGACGGCCCGGGATCTGGATCTTTTCATCCATCTCCGTGCGATTGACCAGGACGGAAATACGATCGTTCTGAAGGGCAATCACGGGGAGCCTATGGACAACTTTGCTCGCGGTTACTTTCGTCTGTCGCACCGGGATGAGGTTGCAAGGAACTTTACCAAAGAGCGAATCCTGGCTCAGCCCCAGCTTCCACCTTCTGACGTGGTTCCTGCGAATGTCTACTCGGTGTTGGTGCCTCTGTATCCCACTGCATTTCTCTTTGATGCAGGACAGAAACTTAGCATGGAGATTGGCTCGGTCAATACCCCGACCACGATTCCTCCCATGCGGCATGAGGGCGGGGACCGGTCTATCGCTCGGTTCGAGGGCGAAAATGTAGTTTTTTCCCATGGTCGGCTTGTTCTTCCCCGCGTGAGAAGGTAATGGGGATATTTTATCTATTGCATGGTAGCTAGCTAAACGCGCAAGATATATGGAGAGATAACGCAGTGCAAGGCACACAGACTTTGGACTATTCAGTGCAATATTACTTAGTAGGTTCTAGGGGCCCACGAGAGGTCACTCGCGGGTAACCTTGGTTGGTCTTTCGGTAAAATGTCTTGTATCGCCTAAGCCCTACATTAGGTGTCTTACACTGCTATAACTTCGCATATAGCTTACATGTCCTTGAGCTCTTCAATCAGAGAAACATATCCCGTGTTGCTTGGAACAATCTTGTGAGTAGGAGAAAGTTCCTTTCACCGCCACCTCAAGATAGGTAGAGAGCAATGGAGGGTTTTGCCAAAGCCTAGGAACAGCATTCATCATCGCCGTCGAGCTTATGAATAAAATTTCAAAGCATCAGCTCGAAAGCTCTGAATATATGTTATCATCTGTAATAGCTCTACATACAATGAAAGCGCGAAGCTGCAGATATATCATTTCATGTCGTATATGTACAGTGAGAAGAGACCTCTAAATTCTGAAAGTGTGTACCAAATACCTAACACGAAAAAACAAGGATCCAGCGTCCAAAATTTCAATTGATTCGTTGATAAAATTGTACAGAGCACTGAAAGTGTCTATTGAGCAAGAGACATAATACGGCTGAGATACGCAGAGATGCTGCAAATATCATCAAGCTTTCCAATCGTACCTACATACCCATCCGGCCGTACAACAACCACTGCGCCGCGCGCTGGATCAACGCCATAGATACGGTATGCATCGTCCAGTTCGTAGCCATTGTAGAACGTCATCTCGTTCTGCTCCTTTACGCATTTGGGGATGTTTTCCCAGGTGAATTCGCCGGGAAGACGTGGATAGACGATGATCTGTTCGATTAAGGATGGAGGGAAATGCCTGACAAGGGTTGCTGCATTGTTGACTGCGGTTGCAGAGACACCGTTGGGATCGAGGAGATCGTTGGTCAAGAGTGACAATACACGGAACCGACCGGTCGACGGAAGGTCTTGCAGTGGATCCTTGTTAGCAGGGCTTTCTGGAAGGTATATCAGCAGCGAGACATAGGAATTGCGTACCGTCATGAATATCACGATGCCACCCGTCCGCAAACCGTTTCAGCTTGATGTTTAGTAGGCGACGCCCGGAGCGTAGAATTCCCGAAATATAGTCATCGCCAACAATCGGGCTGCTTCTGGCGATAGAAGGCCTGTCAACCGCTAGATTATTGGCGTACTCTACGCCACAGCCGCTAGTGAAACCGCACCCGGTGCTGAATAGGTCGACGAAGTCGGAATGGGAGATTCCAGACTTGGATTCGGTCGTGCCCACTTTATCCGAGAAGCTGCTGGAGAACTTCTTATCAAAATCAATCAAATTTTGAGCGTTCGCATGGCGTTCTGTGTGGTATGTGTCAAGCAGCGCATCTGAGCTCTTCTTGTCCGACGAACTAGGGGTTAGGCCATTGATATGATAAGCGAGCTTCCAGGCCAGATTGTATGAATCCATCATGGACACGTTCATGCCTTGGCCGGCCTGGACATCTACGTCAGCTGTTAAGAAGTAGTAAAAGATATGAACGGCCTACCTTTGGACTATGTGTATGGCATGCTAAGATTCATTAGTAAAGCTTGGACACATAAAGTCTTGAGCAGTGAAACTCACCATCGCCGACAAGAAATACGCGGCCAAGCCCGCTGGAGTCCTTCACGATAAATTCCGGACACACTCGCTGCCCAATCTGGTATGCAGCCCACCAGTCGATTGCATCATCCCTCTTGGGTCGAATGTAGTACGGCTTAAACACATCCCCAACCTGCTTCAGGATCCCTTCTAAAGTGACCTGGCTCCGTTTCCCCTTCGCCTCTTGCTTGAGATCCGCATCGGTGCCGGCACTCCCAGACTCTACCACCCCTGGAACCTGCACATAGAGTCGGGTAATATACTCACCGGTATTAATCCGTTCACGAGGAATGACCATAGCAGACCCTGCAGATGAATGGACCGCGCAGCGTCTGCGGATATCGGGAAAGTTAGTGTCAACTACCAGGTCTACAACTCCCCAAATATAATCCAGTGATTGACCTTCCAGCGAAAGGCCAACTGATTTGCGGACAACCGAATGCGCACCGTCTGCCCCGACCAAGTGCTTTGTATGAATGACCCGCGGGACCCCATTGACTTCAATTTCAGCAATCACGGGGAATTCGGCATCTGTATGCTCGTCGATCCGCAGCGATAAGAGCTTGGTGTTTCTCATGACTCCGCGCGATGAGTATCGGAGGAGATCTGTCTCCATGATGCGTTCTACGCGTCCTTGGTGGATGGTAGCCTCATAAGGGAACCTCGCAGGTGGGATCACTTCCGGTACGATAGATCGTCTTTCGATCAATTTCACCGGGTCGTCAGAGACGTTCCAGAATGCGAACTCCCACATTTGGCATGCCTCGTTCTCAATTTCATCGGATATACCCAATGTCTTCAGAACCTCCAGGGTGCGAGGCTGTATACCATCTGCCTGGCCAGATTTTAGCGTGCCAGGCTTTGAGTCAATGCATAATACGGACTTGTCTGACAAGCCGTATCTGGCTAACAGCAGGTGCAGCATGAGGCCTGCGGGTCCGGCCTGACCAAGGGTTAGCGACAATAAGCGTCCGGAAATGGTCTTGCTGACATACCCCAACAATAACCACCTCGTATCGCTCTATCCCATCTTCTGGGGGTACGAATTCCGGGGTCAGGCGAGGGAGTGGAGGTGCGAACGATGGGTGGACCCTGAGGTCGCGCCAACTGAAGGCCTGTTCAGTGAAGAGAGGCATGACGGCGTGGTGAAGGTGACAAAGTGGATCTGTGTTGATCCTGGGTGATACGTAGGGCGACAGGAACGCGGCTTAATATCCTTTTCATCTCATCGCTGCATGTCATTCTAGTTATATTGACACTGGTCTCAAATACACTTCTGAACTGCCGGTCCATTTCAGTAGGTATAAGACACCCCGCCGGATGTCATACCCCGCCATGTGGCGCCCGAAATTGCGGGGTGCCTACATGCAGGAAGGAAGCGAACCTCTAGAGCCCACAATTCGACCCCACGCATCAGGCTTGCAGATGGGGGCTCCTATCTAGTATGATAGGCGATTCCTTCGCAACCCTGTTGGACACACTTTATAGCAACTCACACACTCGGTTTATTTTCTACCGCAGCACACAGAACGGAAGAAAACGATTGTGAGATGCCCCATCGGCCAATACGATTTAGGAGGTCAATCAAGCGGTGTAGGTGACTGACGCTCACTATTGTAGGGTCGCCGGAGCCTTGTCCCTGAGGTTCACGGGGAGCCGTAAAACTCTCTACGAGCCGGATCTCGGGAGTGTTGAATGCGTCGGCATCAATGGCACGGCGCCCGCCAACGTGAGTAAAACATAGCCATACCAGAGCTGCGCTGAAAAGAGCTCGAGGCACATGAATCGCCGGCTCCGATGAGACACGCATCCGTTCAAGGTACCGCTGGATTAATAAGGTATGCACCAAGCACCTACTTGCATCGAGGGAGGTAGCCCACGACCTGATGAGAGAACAGCTGGAGTTAGTGGCACTGTCGCCGTCTCGACCGATGGCTTGCTCCAGAAGGTCTATATCAGCATAGATACTAATGAAAACGGAGTGCCACAGGACCGGTAGGCTAAAAGGATCGTCCTCCCCATCTAGGGGGAAGTGGTCGGTATATATTCTCCACCATCGCATGAGGAGATTTGACAACTGTTTAGATTCATGTTCGTCCAATGTATTCGACCGTCGAGCTTCGATAGTATGTGCATTTATGCTTTCCAGGACTCCATACGCTGAGAACCTGGAGAATGACACCGTCGCTTGAAGCGGATCGATTGAATTAGAGAGCGAGAAGTACTTGGTTGGCGTGTCTCTGTAGAGTTCGGCCCATCGCGACGCGGTGGGTGCCATGAACAGTGTGTCAGAGGCTACACGTGGATACTGATTGAGACGATGTTTACGGAGAGGCTCGTGGTGCAGTAGACTAGCCAACTCTGCATCATGGATGTTCAATGCAATCTCCACCCGCCTTCGCTGTTCGTAATCAACCCACCGACTCCACTGCTTATCTAAATCAACCATCGTGGGGTCCAAGTCTTCAGCGTCCGGCGGGCCCGGGTTTGCGTTTTTGTTACATTCACGCGCCCATGCTATTACGGTACCATGCAGCACATCTGCCAGGATGAGAGTCTTGGGGTGGCCCAATAAAATTGCGAACGTCTGACCAAGTACAGCGGCTTGTACCATTGATAAGGCATCATCACAGCTGTGCGACAAGACAGTCTCCCAGGACGCAAGAATCGCTTTATTCAATCTCTCAAAAAGACGGATCCCTCGCGCAACGGCAGAGGCCGACCCTACGAAGAGGCTGCCCACAGAGCAAATTGAGACGAAGAGCAAAGAATTCTCCTTCGTGGGCTGAAACGAAGGCGCATGTACGATAGGAAAGAGGGAGTTAAAGCGGCTGAAGAAGAGGTTCGCGTAGAGATTTAGTTGGTCAGATGACGGGAGAGCCTCGTCGTGTATGTGAGGCTGCAGCGTCTGCGACAGGCCCGCCCGGTAATCCTCATCAGCCGCAACGTTTCCCTCACCAAAGGAGCCTCCACGATTGCTGGAAGCCCTTTGCGAGTTCCGTGCCCCTTGCCCAACTGACAGCCGCGAGAACCATCTCTGCTGGACGAGGTTAGTTGGTGGTCCCTGAGCCTCTGTCGGTATCGCGCCTGAAGGTGTCGGTGTGGGTGGACAGAATATGGAGACATCACCAGAATTAGATGGCGGCCGTGGCGGCATTTGCGCCCATTCTGATACGGCTGACGATAAGGTAAAATCCAAAGCATCGACGTCCAGCCCAGTCCACAGAAACCAAGAATTTGGATCAGGATTGAGGATGGGGTCGTGGGGAATCATCTCAAGCGGGTGTTGGGTATCTATCGACTGAGGGTTCTCCACCTCAGGTGACTGGTCGGATAGCCCAGGCATAGGAGCGGAGCGGTTTGGGGTCCAAGGGGGATTGAGTTCTTCCTGGGACAAAGGTGTCACCATGGTGGTGTCCTTTTCCGATTGGTCTGGTGATTGTGAAGAAGCATTATGCTGATTTTTTTTGTGGCGTCGCAACACATCACTGGAAAGGACAGGTCAGGTTGGTGTGCACAGACGTTGGTAGGAGTGACTACGCGGCAGACCTTCGCGAATAGAGCTTGCCGCAGATGGAACATCTGTAGGGCCTTTCTTTCGTGTGACTGCGAAGATGGCGTGTCAGATGCTCCGCCTTGGAGAAAACCCTGTTACAGGAATGGCAGCGCCGACTCTGAACAGAACTCATTCTGTTTCTTGTGATTCTTCATCAGGCTTTCGGGACCAGATGGACACGGAGAGGAATCTGGGGGACATCACCCATTGTTAGGAGCAAAGCCCGCAGAGATCCGGGGACTCCACATCAACCCCACGGCTGTGACACGTGACCCGGTGCGCCTGGCATTACGGAAGTGGGGTGAGCAGGAGTTTAGGCTCACCCCGCAGCCTGTATGTATGTATGAATGTACAGTACATATCTTGGTGCCCTCCACGCTAGCATAATACAGTCTTTAAGCGATAGAGTATAGCACTGAACTAAATATCATTCGACTTCTCCTCTACTTGTTACTATCAGGTAGAGCTTTATATGAATTGACATCTACAAGCGCCCTGCACTACGTGCAATGTCTCACATAATATAAATGCATGTAAATTAGTACTAGAGATTGTAAATCAACAGCCCCGTTTAGACTGACCCAATCACATTTGCCCAGGTACCCCTCTATTTAGACATACCAACTCACTTAGGCACATGTGGAAGCTTCTTTAAACAACCCACACTGAGTGAACTCAAGTTACATCCAGTACTTGTCAGCACAAGACAGAATATATACCCAGGAAATGTCTCTAAAGCCAGAACACAACCCTCATATCACTCCGCCCGCTTTTACTTACCCAACGCTTCCGGAAGAGCCTTATACCACTCGCATGATCCGTCTGCTGCCGCATAAGGATAAGAGTGCTCCAATACAGTGTGTGCTGTTCAACTATGATTTATCAGAGACAGGCGGTGGAACACACCTGTATGAGGCACTTTCTTATGTATGGGGAAGTGAGCTGAAGCCTGAATCAATCATGCTAAACGGCTGTATCTTCCATGTCACAACAAATCTCCACCGCGCACTTATAAACCTCCGAAACCGCCAACTTGACAGAGTACTATGGGTTGATGCAATATGCATTAACCAGGACGAGGAAGATCAGGGAAATGAGAAAAGCAAGCAGATCCCACTGATGCGGACGATTTATGCTCAAGCCGAACGCGTCATTGTCTGGCTGGGAGAGGCCACAGAGAATGGTGATCAAGCGCTTGGAAGTATTCGTCGCCTTGGAGAAGGTCAGGATATAACCTCTAGCCTGGACAATCCGGAACCCTCTGATGCATGTCTGCGGTTGCTACAGCGAGATTGGTTTAGTCGTATCTGGGTAAGATAGCAATTGCCCATCAGTGTCAGAAACCATCACTAACAAGCTCAAACAGGTGCTTCAAGAAGTGGGCGTCGCACGATGTGTTTATATCATGTGTGGCCCTGTTTCTATAAACGGACACGTCTTCTGTGAAGGCCTTAGCAGACTAGGGCTATCCTCAGATTTCCGGAGCAGGATTGGCCCTGTTGCTTATCTCATAAAAGGCGCACTTTATCGGCCTAAATATGAGCTTGGTTCGCGAGGGTCCATCTCTGTAGGGGAGCTCATTGGCATGTATCAAAACCATAATGCGACCAAGCAGCATGACAAAGTATATGCACTGTTAGGCTTAAGTGCCGACCCTATCACAGCTGCCCTAGAGCCGAACTATAGCATCCCATGGAAGGAGGTTTTCAAGCAGGTCGTCAATCATATATTCCCCGAATGTTCGGTGGACACATGGAATGATACAGAAACAGTTGTTATCAAAGGCAAAGGACTGATCTTAGGCAATATTAACTTGGTTGAGGAGAGTGTCTCTGAATTTGGGAAACAAAATATTGAAGTCCTCTTAAATGATACTGCCCGGTGGTTTGGTTTCAATTCTTTATGGGAAACTAATTGGAAACCGCAGGCCTCTGCAGTGCCGATTCAGGCTGGTGATATCATCTGCCTTTTGAAAGGGGCCTCAAAGCCAAGCATCATAAGGCTGTGCAGAGACCATTTCATCGTCGTCATACCAGCAGTGACACCTCAGCAGAAACAGGATAAAGAGAGTTCAGCGGTAATATCTCAGGAAAGACTATCTAGGAGTGGTCTTCATGACATTCTACTCACATGGAAAATTCCTGGCGCTAAAACAAAAAGTAAGGATATGTTTGAGGTGATGTCCCAGCTCAGTGAGATAGCACCAAATTATCGAGAAGAGTGGTCCTATACCGAAAGGAGATTGGAATACACAGGGCTCGCCGTGATAAGTATTGCAATGACAATAATAAGTCAAGGAAGATTCAAAACCGAGCCAATAGAACAACTACTCCGTCAAAGTGGAACAAAAGATTCAATCATCAAAGAATTGGTTAGGGGTTCCGCAAACAAAAATAAACGACATACACAGACAGTCCCAGATCATTTCTTCGTGTACCAAGAAAAGTACCTATCATTTTCAGAAGAAATGATTATAGATGTAGCAACAAATTATGGATCATATGGTTGCATCATCGTGGAAATCCTCCTGCAGTACCAAAGAGCGAGTCTCCCAGTCTCTGAAGAAGTGGTCAAGGCAGCAGCAGGGAATAATGCAGAGTTTGTGCCTGAAATCTTAAGGCTTATACTTATACACCGGGCGAAGAGTCCCCCAATTTATGAAGCAGTGCTCAAGGCAGCGGGAAACCTAAAAATTGAACTTGGATTGGTGGCGGCGCTATATGCACCTGCCCAAGAGAATATTTGAATATGATCCCTTCTTTGCTACAACTACCAAAAGATTGTCTCTGTCGGTATCCATGGAAACTCTTTGAGATAGTGAGTTCACGAGATATACTCAAAGGAACAGAGGGCCAAGTTCTATGCATCCAGTCACAGGTGCATATCTAGTGACCGCTACAAGTGGAGGAATCAACGTTAATATATCCCCCAAGGCTTGAGAGAGCCCTATCCGATTGATGCTGATGATAATAATGATTATGTTAACCAGCCCAGAATAATAAGAACACTTCATCTCAAGGAAACATGGCCAGCTTTACTCATATGCCACAGATGACGTGTAAGCTCGCTTTCAAATCCAACCCATGGCCCGCCTCCTAACCACCCACTATCACTCAGGCTTCTTTCGCACATTTATACCCAGTCAAATCACGGAATCACTCAAACAATCAACCATGGGGCACCTCACTCTTCTCACCCCCTTCCTCTTTACCGCCTTCTTCACCCAAGGAAAGCCACCTTCACGCTCTACAGTGAACGCGATGCCATGGGCTCTCGCAACTGTGCTACGACCGTGAACGCCTGTGGCCAGCTCAACCAGTTCGGGATCACGGTCACTTCGGACCTGAGTGGAAAACCCGCGGAAGGGAAGACGACGAAGGATACCGTGAACAATATTTGTCCCATCGATGGCAACCCTATCTGTGACATGATGAACAAATGCGATACTGGGATCCAATTCGACCTATGTATGGATACTAGTGCCGAGAGCTTCGTTCCGAGGCTGGAACTTGGACTGCAAAGCAGGCTAGCTGTGAAGCGGAGTGATAGGGCCTGCTTGTTAGCGACTTGTTGGAAATTTAGTAGGTTGATTCCTCCCTTTCTTCTCTCCGGGGCTAATATTCATGGCTAGCCTTTTTCTTTACAGCATTCACTTCAAAAGTAGCACGAGCGTTTGACCATTCAGCCAAATGTAGGGCAAGAGAGGGAAGGGTAAAAGAATATAGCAGATCTTTAAAATTCCGTACACGTGTCTTGACTTTAGGGGCAAGATAAGCTATACTAAAACAGGGCTTTGTTTGCAATTTTTAGATAAGGAGCCCCATTCTTAAGTAACAAATTAAAATCTGGACTCCTGCGTATTGACTAACTGGATATGACATGGACCGTGTGGTATTCATATACAATAACTATGTTTGAGAAACATACTTATACAAACTTGAGGTTGCTATTTCAGCTTCCACAGGTGAAGGTTCGCTTTGCGATCACATCATCTAGGCCTTGCATTCTGTCTAATCGTGAATTATGTGTAGTATTCTTATTGACTCACATGGGGAACCCTACCGCCCCTGCACGATGTGCTTTATATTGTATTTGGGTGACAGATATGGGCTGCGGTTTGCAACGAAAGAAGTGGTAAGAGCTGCGCATATTAAAGATTTCTAGATAGTGAGGGTCGTGAGTTTTAATAATGCAGATATTCTAGTCGATCGTTTTATGCGCCTCAACTTGTGTAGAAGATCACACTTTTTATCAGGTAAACTGGACGTAGTATTCCTAGGCGCTACCTTAGTACACGGCCTAATATATAACCATATGGCTTGAGAGATTTATGCCCTTGAGATCTTCGAAGCCGCCTCGTGTATCTTCAGAAGCCGCATGTCTAGCATGATAGTCCGCATCTGTATTCCAATTCCTTGGAATACGCCAGAATTTGACTTGCATGCCATTGCTATCCCATCTTTCTATTTCTCCAAGTAGGCATTCCCAAATGTCCCGGTTCTTAACCGCTGCTCCTATTTTCGTCTTCCAATCTCTCGATAGCCATCCACGTACCCAAGATGTCACACCCTCGACAACATATTCGGGGTCTGTCGCGATCACGAGACTGTCGAACCCTTCGCCTGTCCAGAACCGAAATCTTAAAGCTGCAATAACGGCGCGTAGCTCTGCCCGGTTGCTTGTTTGCGGATGCGCTTCACCAATAGGCCCTGAGTTTTCGAGAGGAAAGCGTACGTAGCTATGATATTCAGGCTGTATTGTGGAAGATTTGAAAACAAAGCTACAGCCAGCTCTGGGGTTCGCTCCACCGTTATCCAAACATGCACCATCTGTGTAGATAAGCAATTGTTTGGCGTTGTTTCGATGAATGAACCGGCATACAGCTGGTGAGGAATTATAGCTGACACCAGATGGGAAAAGTGACTGCGGGGTATCCCTTGTGTTATCAGGGTGAAATTTTGTAGGAATGACGCGTCCTGTGCCGACTCTAAGTCGGGTCATATTGTCAAATGCTGTCTTTTTGTCGAATGTTGACTCCTCGTCGAATGGTGTCTCCTTGTCGCTTATGTTTTCATCACGAGAGTCTTGGTCTTCTTCTAATACTTCTTCCATAAAACTATAATCAACAATGCAGATAGGACAGACGACTAGATGATGTGAGCCACACACTAAACGGCCATTGGGAAGCTCGACAGGGCTGTCTGGGCGAAAAGACATCTTTCAAGTCGGTTGTTGAGTTCAACACACAAGGCGCAAATCCTTAGCAGTAGTAGAGTAATATTTGGGGGTTTCTTTCTTTGAGTGAGTTAGGACCGCCCAGATATATGGAAGGGTGTTAGCGTACTCGAGCATATGTTTATTCATTAAGTAGTATATGGTGCTGTGAGGATATTGGGTGGGGTGCCCGGTGGTCCTCTTACGTACAATCTCTGGGCACGAGATTTTTGAAAAGTGAGTCAGTATTATCTTTATCTTTATCTTTTTCAATTTCCCACCGCCTGAAGCAGCTATGCAAGTGGTGCCCCCTGCCTGGTATCAAGGCTTCCCTGGCCAGCCCAGAATGAAAACAAAAAATGGAATGAATTACTAATAGAGCCAGACTAGGCAGACAGATATTTGTGGTATACTATGCTTAACATCTTCTGAGTGAGAGGCCACCAGGACCCTGAGACCTGGCCTACTCTATGTAAGTTGTAATGACCAGTTACTCAGTATATACTACACTACAGGGGTTTTGAATCTTGGAGGTAGCTTAGGGTAGAATAGGTGCCCGCTCCGGGAAGTAAACCTATAGCCCTGACTGCTAAGAAGAGACCCTCTTCCTCTTCTTCACGAATTAGGGGCCTTCCTCGTTGTGTTTTGCCATTGCATATAAGGAAAGGGCAAAAAAGATATCTCGTCCCCCGAGCCGGAATAGCCAGCGACCTTCTGATTACAAGGTAAGAATTTCCATCAGTCAGACGTCATATCCAACTAGACCATCAGGGGTTAATAAATGTATTTCTTTGTCACTATATGTAATATCAAGTAAAGCCAAAATTTACGGCATGTTTTATATCATAAGGCACAGATAGTTATTGGGTTGTAACCTTAGAATCTGTGGGGCAAAAGTATGGAAAAGTAGTAGAGGCAATATGACGCCTTACGTACACTTCCCTAGCACGTCGATTGATCTAGACAGACCTATGTCATTGAGACCATTAGTAGCCACTCATACTCGGAGGCAGATCCTCATTCTGCGTCCCCCAAGCACTTTCCGTCAAACCCAGCTCCAGCTCAAGCACACCACCCTGGTTAAAAAAGTCATGACCTATCCAATTCTTTGTCCACGGCTCACCATCCCGTTTAACGTTTTGAATATAGATGGCCTTATAATTAGGATCATAGTTGAGATTGCGAATTGTGGCAACTGCGCCGGTAACGCTGTTCCGGACACTGATCTCTTTGAAGAAGGGGGGTGTGATCAGATAGACATCTTGTCCATGAACTGGAAAGAGGCCCATCATGCTTAACACGGCGAATGAGCCCATCGCTCCACCGTCGTCGTTTCCGGGGATTCCAGAGACCGATGTATTGAACTGAGATGGGATGTAAAAGTGGGACCGTGCTGCCGAGAGTGCTGGCCGACCAGCATAGTGGAACTGGAAAGTAGTAAGGAAGGCTTGCTCATCTCCAACATAAAGTATACCCGAATCATGTAGGTAGTTCAGCCGAGACGTAAAGAGTTGAGGGCCTCCCAGTCGTTTTATCAGAAGACTCATATCCTGGGGTGCATAACTAAGCCCGGTAGGTCAGCTTAGGGTACTGTGCCTGTGAGGAAGAACGTACAATGTATAGAGCCAGGAGCTTCCTTCATAGGTTTCGTGCCCATCTGGGTTCAGATAGCAGGATGTAAAGTTCATCAGTGGACTACAGAAGATGGGATCTTGATATCCCCATGTCCCATTCAGATAGCGAGGCTGCAGGAAACCTGTAAACCCCGTATCCACACCATTGATTGTCGATCTCTGATCATCCTTGAACATGTTTTGCCAGTTAGAAGCTCGCTTGAGATATTTCTCATAGTCGCTGTCATGGCCCATTCGCTTAGCCACCTCGGCGATGCAGAAGTCATTGTATGCATATTCGACGGTCCTCGAAATACTACGCGTGTGTAGCCCAGAACCATCAGGATCGTAGTCATCCGTTGGGATATACCCCAATCCCTTCCAGCTCCTAAGACCCCCGCGCCCTTCAACATTCCAATTCGACGGCTCAACTTCAGCATCTTTTACAATAGCCTCGTAAGCTGTATCCCAATCGATATCGCTGACATTCTTCAAAAACGCATCCGCAATGAGAACGTCTGCATTAGACCCTCCTTGAGTATACCCCTTGCAAAGAGACATGCGACAGTCGGGCAGATAGCCTTCATGGCGGTAAATATCAACCAAGCTCCTGATCATTCGAGATTGAGACAGGGGATCCATCAAAGTCAGCAATTGGTGTACTCCACGGTAAGAATCCCATATACTGCGAGTTCCTTGTCAGTGATCTAATAGCCAATTCCCGCGGGTTCTCTCACCAATAGAAGCTGTCGTAATATGGCTCTTCACTTTTCCAAAGAGGATTCTCTCCTGTGTAATCCTGTGGGCTAATCATGGCTCGGTAGGCACCACTCCAGAAGACCTTCTGTAGGTCAGTCGAGACGCCTTCAGCATCAACTTTTATTACATTCAATTTATCCCTCCACGCAGACTCAGCCGCCGACACTGTATTAGCAAAATCGAAACTGGGCTGCTCTGTTTCTGCGTTGGTACAAGCCTGTTCAACACTGATAAAGCTGACGCCAACACGCGCAGTGATGGTATTGTCTTTCAATGCGTGGAACCTCGTAAAGGTACCAGCTGAGAGCGTAGCTGGGGTATTCCCCCCATCTTCAGTAAGAGTGACAGACTTCTGGCTGGAATTAGCTCGATTTTTAACCCATGTCCCTGTGTCCCGAATATCGCCGCCCTTGAAGTCTACACAGAAATGGAGCTCATACGACCCAACACCGAAACTGGGATTGAATGTGGCGTTCCCACTCAGGCGCCCAGAGGCATCAACTGAGGCTACGCCGCCCTTTCGCGACTGCGGTAGATCCATGAGATCAACCAGAATCACTGGACTAAGGGAGTCTGTGGGGACGTTGTTAAATGTAAATCGGTATAATGCTGAATGGTTTGTCACCGTCATCTCAGCTTGCACGCCGTTTTCCAGAGCAATGCTAAAGTAGCCTGGTCTGGCCTTGGGAGAGTCGCGTACCCATGCGATTGCGCGATCGTTTTGTTGCCATTTACATTTGTTGAGATCATCGTCTGGGCAATTGGGCTGCGCGAATATAGGAAAATTTCCCATAGACGGCGACTAAGAGCAGGTCAAACCCCTACCACTGTGATAGAACTATTTCTGAGGCCAGCACTTACACCCCCAGTCCCGGAATCATGGGTATGCGAGAAGCCAGTGACCGTTTCGGTGTCAAATGCAAAGCCAGCTTGATTCTCCCCCTGTGTGTCTGCTACCGCTTTTGCCATACCTTTACGGACGTTAGGGGCTGGTTTCACATGTTAAGTGAGAGAGGAATCACCAAATGGCAGTGTCGCCCCAGCAAAGGAATGTCCTATACTGGCTAATTAGCACACTGAGCATGCAGAACTGCTGTTACGCAGATACATGCCTCCATTGGAAGTTCCAATAAGCGGATCAACATAATTTAGGACATCAAAAGCATTTTGACCTGCATCTTGTCCGCTTGCTCGGCTCGCAAATATAAATGACAAAGCAATCGCGCCTAGGAGCGTCGGAGATGCGAAAGCCGGCATATTGTGAGAATCAGATCGCACATGCAGGGATTGAAGATGCGATAAAGAGGAAAGAGAGACAAATGGGGACAAGACATCAAGAAAAGATGCTTAAAAAAAGGGGGACCCCGCACGCACTGCTATATTCCCCCCCTTGCTTGTTTTCAATGTGGCTGGACTATTGAGATGACATCCCATAATTGCCCGGCCACGTTAGGCCGAGCAACAAGAGGCCTCGAAAGGGCCACATGGCTTTCTGTGTTTGCCCCCGCAGTATTGATGGGTCATATCCGAGCGATTCAAGCCAATTGTCAATGTGATACAACTTCAAAATGTGACATTGAATGCAGCCCCTCTTGTGGAACGATGTGACATTGCGGAAATTACCGCAGCGATCAGGAAGAGAACAGCCTAAGGTACTCCAGAGCAGACAAGGTGATGCGGGCCAATGCCGATCATTTCGGATCTTACTTCGGGTGCAATATAGCTTCGGCGTAACCCCGCAATTCGTAGGAAATGTTGCACCACCTTTGATTGGGGTCTCTGAAAGAGGCCAGTCAAACATCAACCAAGATTGTATGGCGTGTTAACATGGACCATGGTGCAAGTACGAATCCACTCTTGTCGGTGGCAGTGAAGCCGTACCGAAGTAGCCTTCCCAAACCTTAGCTACCTTTTACGACCCCCTTAATGCCAGTGCGCATGAATTGAGTGACTGGTGAAGTGCTTTAATATGCTTCAGCCGCGTGGTGGATGTCCTGGAGTTGCGTTCTAACCAAGCAAATAGGCGGAGACCAAGCCGCAATCGCCGCCAAAGGATTGGCCTGAGGGTTCTTTAGGCTTGTATCTCTAGTCACTTTATTTACGGGAAAAGATGGCCAGAGGGCTTGTGAGTTGCAAACGTCTCAGATCTATCCAACCGTATGGTACTCTTTTGCAACAACTCTTGCACAATCGACAAGAATATATCCACGAGGCCTCATTGCCCAGTAGGGCATTTTAATGACGACAGCAACCAATTAAGAGCCCCGTGTTCTCATCAATTCATCAAATATATGCACGAGTTGACCGCGCGAAATATATGAGTTAGACTCCATTGGGTATGGTCCGACTCAGCAGCGATGAGAAATGCATACAGGTCAAGTACACCTTAACAGGATCAGATTAGATCCATCACGATTCTATCCCAAGACTTCCCGCTCGTATCGGACGGCAGTTTTGGGAAGATTGGCGGAGTGCTAGTTGACGAAGAGTTAATGATGGGCTCGTTCGTTGGCAGCCGGGAGGTGAAGTATGCTCGGAAGTTAGCATTTTCGTTTCGCAAAGCAGCATTTTCCGTCTTCAGCTCTTGAACCTCTTCTTGCAGTGATTGCTGGGCTTCGAGCTCTGTCATCATGGACGCCAGCTTCAGCAAGAGTTCAGGCCTTATATCTTTGTCGGCATACAGTTGACCATAATCAACAAGAAGGTTCCTGGCGCGGGACAAGACGTGGGTTTCCGGAGTTGCAACGTTTCCGTGAGATTTAGAAGACTGCTGACGGTCTACATCAGGCGAAGATCGTTTAGATAGGTCCTGAGTGGGCCCTGCCAACGAGCCTAGAACTGGCAAAGTCCGGCGCCCCTCCAGAGTAGCATGTTCACGGGGACTAGTAGCTCGGCTATAGCCATTTGCACTGGGAGTGCTGCTCCGTGAGCCGTTCGACGAAGATGTCGACCTGTCGAATTGAGGCGGTGACTGATCCCATCGCATGTGTTTGCAGGATGGGCAGTGAAACGGCTCAGTCAATATGGAAACATCATGCGATGGTAGACAGGGTGCATGGTAAGACCTGCAGCAGGTTTCACACAATATCAGGTTGCCTGGATTACGGCAACCAGAACAGACTAAGTTATGTGGTTTTCCAGCACCTAGCGGCATTAGAACCCACGACCAATGTAGGGGATTATTTAGGCCGCACTAACGAGTCCATTCATCATATATGTAGCCGTTTTCTGCATGGGGGATACTACCAGAGTCACGCCATTCGCTACTAGATAGTTCCGCTGCTGAGTGCAAGGACTGCGATATCGCTGAGACCTCAAAGGGGTAATGTGTGCTCCGTGACCCAGTTTGGCTCAGAAGCCCTTGAGCAACATTGAGCTGTTTTTCTGTCGTCCGCAGCATTGCTAGTGACCCACGAGGGCCGTCTGAAGAATATACCTGTAAAATGAAGGCGATTGATGTGAGATCGTATTCAGTATTGATCATAGAAAGGACGGCGGAAAAAGGATGCTCCGTGATCCGTGATCGGGTTGATATCCGAGCCTCATCCGAGGTACAGCCGTCCCGTGATCATGCCGCTGCCAAGAATCCTTGACGACAGAAGCTTCCCCAATCCTGCGATAGTGTCCAGACTAGAATCACTGCTGCTATCTGGAAATTGATAAAGCGCTACCATAGCACTCAAGGGGCCTTGTTGTGTCACGACATGTAGGACCGTTTCATGCCTGTTATCTTTGATGAAACTACTACTACGACACACTCTTCCGCTACAATTGGAAGCCCCACTACCCTGTGGAAACCATGCCTGGCGTACCGTCCAACAAAGCATGTGAGCGATGCAAAAAGAGGCATCTCAAGGTGCGTGCCAGCCATCGCTTGACTTGCTATCTTGCTTCCTAACCCCAATAGTGTGACGAGGCACGCCCGAAATGCCAGCGCTGCACAAACGCTGGGGTGGACTGCCCGGGATATGTTCAGACGCGCAAATTTATAGACCAAGGCGCTTCGGTAAGGCGCCGATACGCGCCCTACCAAGAAGGTCACACCAAATTACATACAATCAAAGGCACAGAAACTGTAAGCTGGCACATTGTACCTTTACATACAGTGCTTCAGGGATGGTGTCTCATACCAACAGGCTACCTCTGAACGCCTGCTCAGCTCGAACCAACATGTTGACCAACAAAGTCCTGGTCCCGGTCAAGCTCAGTCTGCACTCCCGCCCTCTGCGAGCTGGAGATCAAGCGAGTCAGATCAATCAGGAGCTCCCTCGCCGCTCCAAAACATGAGGATCAACTCGACAAAATCGCCCATACAAATGAATGCTGCTAATTTCATGGCAAGTCAGTCCATGACAGACGCCGCGTCTGTTGGCATGACTAGCTTGGACCAGTCACAGAGCACTGCTATCAGGAGTACTGGCCACAGCCCACTTAATATTAACAATGCTGCATCCCCTCATGTCCAGGGAAATGCTTACAACGGACTTCGATCCAGACCCCCATCTTCTCATACCGCCTCGGGGAGCCCATCACAGCCTAGCGAAAGAGACGAGTTCCAAGATATCTTCTCTGAACTCTTAACGGGCACTGAGCATGAAATGGCATTCTTGATTCGACATTATTCAGAGAATTTGGGGCCTTGGTACGTTAGACCCCCAAAGCGTGCAGTGTGGCTCGCGCTGATTACAAGACAGGCTAGACATCTCGGACTCGACCAGATTTTTTGAAGTCCATGTACCAATACGGGCAATCAACGACCCCTTTTTAAATTTTGCAATTGCCGCTCTGGCTGCGAAGCATCTCGGCAGGATGAAAGGTGCAAAATCGCCCGCTAGTGGTGGAATGTTTACCAGTCCGGCGACCATGGAAGTCTATCCAAATGCGACCCAAGTGGACTGGTTTCTCAAAGCAACTAACTACTACTATATTGCCGCTTCCCGCATGAATTCCGCCATCTCTGAAGCTTACACTTCCATATCTAGCTCGGCCATTTTAGAGGAATCGGCAATTCAAATCGCCAGCCGATGGTTGAGTCTTCAACCACAGCAGTCTAGTCCTGCCGCCGAAGAACCTGCTGCTAGCACTCTCTCAAGAAAGACAGAGAATATCCTTGCAGCCTCAACTCTCATGACCATGTACAAGCTTCTGGATGAACCCACAGAAAATTGGCAATCGTGCGTGACCATCCCGTTCGACCTAGTCCCCGCAACTGACTACTGATAATCGACTTAGGCACCTTTCAGGAATAAAGGTATTATTTGACTCTTTGCTACAAGTACACAGTGGTACTTCACCTATTCCATGTTTACTACCTCAGGGGGCAAGGGCAGCGTTCTGGAACCTCGCGCGGTTGGATTACCTAAGTGCTTATATCAATCGGGTTCCAACTCAGTTGGACCAGGACAACCTTACATTATGGAGGGCTGCCGGCATTTCAATCGATGAGACAGGGAACATATCATTACATGCCAAAGATATGACCGATAAGGCGTTATCTCACGAAGATTTTGCGGCTAACAGCTTGACTTGGCTTGTTGCCAAAGTGATCAATTTTCTCGCGGAGTCGAAGAAGTTACAATGGGAGCAATTAACAGGTCATTCATCTAGTGATCCACCTACGCCCTCTTCAGCATCCACTACCTTCACACCATATCCTTCTACCTCCACCTGGTTGAAACTCTGCTTCGATTTCCAGTCCTGGTTCGAAGGTTTACCCGAAACGTTCCGCCCGTGCCTGCGATTAGACAATCCCAAAGACTTATCGAAGGTCCCAGAAATTGTTTATTTGCCCTTTCCAGAAATATTTTACGGACTGACATCCTGTGCTGCGACAATGCAGCAGTACCACTTTGGACGCCTTGCATTATCTCTGAACAGGCCACCGGATGCCGTCAGCGGGCCCAGCACTGCCTTTGACCGCCTACAAGGGTACCGGGAATTGATGAAAGAGACCGAATACCGTGTCCGGGAAATCTGTGGCATTGCACTCGGTCGTCCTCGGAGTGCCGCACGTGTTTACACGATACCGCTTTTGTTTGCGGTCGGCCAATGCTTCGAAAATCCTGAGGAGCGCCAAATAGTTGTCGATTTACTACGTGGGATCGAGGCGGATCTTGGATGGGAGACGAGCGTTCGGATTCAGAAGCTGCAAGCCTCATGGGCCCAAAGATAAACCCAAGTCTTCCCTCACCATCATAGAGAGCATTTATGCCTAAGGCAGCGATCCACACGATTGTGCCTCTGCTTAGCTGGCATACGGACTAAGTTCGGGAAGCGCAGTCTCCATCGATCTACATCTTGAAATTCGATTTCCGGTTATCGCCGCGGATGTCGAATACATAACTAGTCTTCGCTCAGCATCACTGGCCCAACGATCGCCCTATAATCATTCTAATGTACTTATAATTAGTAGCACAACCTCGCACCGAGACGACCATTGGTATTACTGTCCTCAGAAGCATGCCTTGTGCTCCCTGTGGAACGATGGGTTACGGCTTGGGGGTATGCTTGAAGAGTGCAGAACTCCCACGCTACTGGAGCTGTTATCGGGACGGCCCGTCTGAGGACTGAGGTCCCCGTTGGATTGCATTGATTCTTCGACTATTCTAGGTTATAATTGCACCTAATATATGGCGGCTTTCCCCGATATATAGTTGAATATCTCCAGACTCCTTTTTTTATGTCAAGGGTGCTCGTTTCAGATCTATCATGGATATTCAGCTGTTCATTCTACGAGAAGAGTTTTCTTTCTGATGAGATTCGGACAGTGGGTTCCACAGCTAGTCTGGACCCATCCTCCTTTTTATTATTATTATTTTTTGGCGTGCTTTTTTTGGCGGCACGGCTTCTGGACAGCCTCCACCAGCCTCCACTGCATGGTGTCGCCTATCATCATACTCAAAAACGATAGAGGCACAATCCACGTCTTTAGCCCATACCCCTGATTGTTATTTTTATTATTCTGCTTTTCTTCTGTTCCATGTCCCCCCCCCCCTATCCCTACGACAACCCAATAAGATCTGTCTTCCCAACCATCTGGGTTATGCAACAGTGGATGCGTACCAGGCCAGGGGGGGCTGACACTACGTAGGTAGTGGCTGTTGATCACATCAACTCAAATCAAGGGGGAAACGCTCAGAAATCGTTACAGGAGTTGTCGGACTGGGTGAAAACTTACCGTACTCTGACAGAAGGCTTATATTTTGCTTCGGCCGAGGGTTGCCTGTCATCCACATCGCCATAATGTAACCTTTCGTTGTACATTTTTACCTGTTCACCTGCAACGGCCTCGGCTAACCGATCTTAGCCGTATCAATTATTGATATGCTAAGAAAAACGCACGTCCCCTTGAGTAGTCCTGCGAACTCTACAAGCATTCTTGAGTAGTATCTGATAGGTAATAGACCGTGACCCGCATGGATTACCTTCCTGAAGGGGTATAAGAAGGATCGGCTGCCCAGTGACGATGTTCAGCTTCCTGTTGGGGCAAAAGATGCGCCAAGAAAGTTGTCCCAGTCGAGGCCAAGGTTTGCATCTCTCCGAAAAAAGCCCGTCGCTAACCAAACTGTTTCACGCGCTACTCTAAAGCCTCCAACGTCTCAGAACAACGGGCAAACATCCCCATTTTCAGTAACGGGAATCTCACCAGATGGAGCCTATCAGACTCCATCTGGCTCTCACACTAGGATTGTGGATCGGCGCGCGCCTAGCCCTATGTGAAAGCTCGATGATTTGCGCTCAACAGACGAATAGAATCGGCTGCGTCGCACGTCATTCGGGTGTTGGTGGAATTTATCTGCCGACAGAGATCCACCTATGGAGTATGTCCGTGACCACAGGGGATATGCACCTCCACGGGTCTTTATCGGCTTGCTTCAGGGAGGGGCGAGGAGGCGCATTACGATACTGTCATGGTTTCATATCACCTGCGTATTTATAACGACCATATGAACGTATAAAACTCTTACTGCTAGCTATATTTTGTTCCCAGCTATTTTTCTGCTACTTTCAGCTCAATCGTTCTGAGCTGTACTGAGCCGGTCATGCCTTCTTCAGTCACCTCTGGCACCAGGTCAGAATCATCCAGCCCGGTGCAGAAAAGCGTCAAGAAGTGGTGGAAAGAGAGCACAGTATACCAAGTCTACCCAGCATCTTTCAAGGACTCCGATGGAGACGGGATCGGAGATTTACAGGGTATCTTATCCAAGCTAGATTATATCAAAAGTCTAGGGGCCAACATATTATGGCTGAATCCGATCTTCTGCTCTCCCCAGGTTGATATGGGATACGACATTAGTGACTACTATAATATTTATCGACCCTATGGGACGGTGGAAGACCTGGATCAATTAACAGCCGCGATTCACGAGCGGGGGATGAAGTTGGTCCTGGATTTAGTAGTAAACCATACGTCAGACCAGGTTGGCTACCCCGGTATCACGGCCAAAGACAATACTAACAACATGGGTCTAGCACCGCTGGTTCCAAGAAGCGCGTTCATCCAAAGCCAATCCCTACCGTGACTGGTATATTTGGAGGAAACCTATATATGGAGAAGATGGAAAGCCTCGGCCACCGAATAATTGGAAGTCTTACTTCGGGGGTATGTATGGTGTTTCGCCAAGTCCTGATACTCCCGTCCTCACGTTCTACAGGAAGTGTCTGGGAATACGATGAACCGTCTGGTGAATACTACTTGCATCTATTCGCAAAAGAACAGCCAGATCTGAATTGGGAGAACCCTTACGTTCGCGCGGCAGTGCACGACATCATCCGCTACTGGCTTAATAAGGGCGCCGATGGTTTTCGAATGGATGCCATTAACCTTATCAGCAAAGATCAGAACTTTCCTAATGCCGAGGTAACGAACCCAGACTCGCCGTGGCAAGATGGAACGAAACATTTCGCATGCGGCCCCAGGCTCCACGAATACCTTCAAGGTATTGGTAAGATTTTGAAACAATACGATGCTTTTTCAGTGGGTGAGATGCCAGAAGTCTACGACCTTAACGAGATGCTTAGAAGCGTCGGGAACGATCGTAATGAATTGAGCATGGTCTTTCATTTTGAGACGTATGTCACTATTATTGTCTAGGCATATTTTATATGAGCTAACATCGAGTCCAGGGTTTCCCTCGACCACGGACCAGGCGGCAAGTTTACGTCTAGAAAATGGGAACTACATGAGCTGAAAACCATCGTGTCGAGATGGCAAACATTCATGTACGAGAACAACGGCTGGAATACATTATACCTCGAAAACCACGACCAGCCACGAATCGTCTCGCGATTTGGCTCCGATGAGCCCGAGTATCGGGTGCCGTCGGCCAAGATGCTGGCTACTTTCCTGGGCTTTCAGAGCGGGACTCTGTTCATCTACCAAGGCCAAGAGCTGGGAATGCCCAACGTGCCCAAACATTGGGGAATCGACCAGTATCGGGACATTGAAACGTTAAACCATTGGAATGAGTAAGCGCATTGATCGTAATCGTTTCGCATACAGCACGGGCTAACGAGGGTCAGGATCACCACCAACGCTCCACAAAACACCCCACTACACGAGGCCTGTCTTGCGGAATACAGATTAAAGTCGAGGGATAATGCACGGACGCCCATGCAGTGGGACGATTCTCCCAACGCTGGCTTCTCGTCCGTTCGACCGTGGCTTCCCGTTCACGATAACTACGGGGATCTCAACGCAGTCGACCAAGTCAACGATAAGGAGAGTGTGTACCACTACTGGGCTGGTGTGCTACGACTACGGAAAGCGTACCCCGGTGTCTTAGTATATGGGTCGTTTGAGCTTCTATCTCCCGAGCATCCGGACTTATTCGTCTACGCTCGAACCGCCTCTTGTGGCCGAGCTGTTATAGTGACCAACTTTCGCCCGCACGAAGTAACCTGGTCTGTCCCGGAAAAAGCCTTCAACTCCGCCGGAGATGTCGCCCTCTCTAGCTACCCTGGCCGAACGAGTCACTCCTTACTTCAAACAACGGTTACCATCAAGCCCTTCGAAGCATTTGTCTGGCTCACTGGGACCGAGACATCACGACTGTAGATTATAATACGAACAATTAATGAGCCCATTTAGTATCAATCCATTGCACATCACCCCCAACCGCTCCCTTTTTACCCACGCCACACGACAATCAGGACCCTTTTCGTGGTGACCGAGTCGTCCAGACTTCCTCAACTGTCTGACCCGTCAAACCTAGAACCCCAAAGGCAAAATATGCAGAAAGCCACGGCCATACATCTAGAACCAACTTCTCGCCCGAGATATCAAATTCCCGCGGCACAGACGCAATTAATTCCAATCTCACATTTTGGGCACACGCACGTTCTTTAATTCCCTGCACCAAGGAGAAATTTTCCGAAGATGCTCCGAGGACGGACCAATTTATCTCCAGGACCTTCCACCGACTTATCTCATTTTGAGTCTTTTGAGTATTGCCAATTTCCGATGATCTGCCACAGTTTAAAAGTGGGACTTGGGGCCATTTGTATGACATGCAACCATATTTCGCTTGATTCGTGGACTTTTTTTTCCCTCACTGGATGTTGGTTGCCTTGCTCGGTTTTCTCCCCGATGTCAACTGGCCTCGGGGTCCACACCGAGGACTGTAAATCAATTGCTGCCAGGCTGGCTTGTTCATAGTGTTATCAGTGCTTCAGGGCGAAGAAAAATCCCCTTAATTAATCGGAAGGTTGGGTAATCAGGCATCGTTAATGTGCCGACCAGTGGATGTTTCTAAACTAGTCGCTAGATCTGACACAGGGGCTGCAAATCTCTCCCAGCCCTAACTCCATTCCGGTCGGTGTCTTCACTCAAAGCTCAGGTTAGGGATAAAAGTTCTTCATCAACCTCCTATGCGACTGATCCATCTTGTGAAAGCGCTCCGCAAAGTCAAACAGCTTCCCAGCAACACACGCCCCGTGGAGATCCAGCGGACTAGCATTACCCAGCAGTCTCCTGTAAATTTCCATCAAGGTGCACGTTTCCGTGAATGTCTCACAGTTTCCGAATCCGTAGTCCACGCTGATCGCAGGAATGGGCGGGAACTCAGCTGGGTTATTAATAGCCAGGAATTGCTTCAGCGACCAGACAGACAGATGCGGCCCATAGGGCGGACTGGAGAAGAACTCTTCTAGAAAGGGGAACTGAAGCCGCGCGCGTCCAAGGCCCTTCGAGTCCATTAGTTGAATCATGGTTCCTGATTCATAGGCCTTCCAGAACTCCGTGAATGTGGCTGTTTGTACATCTTTCATTCGCGGCATGCGGGTTGGGACATCGTCGTATAGTTTGTCGCCAACGAGTAGTCTTTGGTACAGGCCCCCAAGGCTCCTTTCTTTGTATTCATCGTCACAGGTGCAAAAGCCGAAATTGAACCAGTTGGTTTCGATCGGGTTTGGGTTGGCCATGTGTAGAGTTTGGGCGAGCATGTAGAAGCAGTCCCGCTTGGCTTCTGGTTCGAGTTGTTTGTAGTGCTTGTCCTGGTCTTCTTTGTCTAAGTACGAGCGTGCTTTGTCGAAGAATGTGGCTACAGTTCTCTGCGTTGCCTCTTCTTCTGTTATCGGCTTGTCCAGGCATTGGGTATGCTCTAGAAACCAGGGAAAGTATCCGCCTCGGTATCGCTCAGGAATCTGGTAAAAGTGTTCTTTGATGTTGGCAACAAGGGAGCCTTCAACTTGCCACTTGTGGATATCCTCAACCGGGATCTCAGCTAGCCACAGGCCCTTGTAAAGCCCCAAGAGCTTGCTCTTATCTGCAAATGAGTCGAAGTAATTGAAGCCGAAGTCTGAGCAGACTTCCTCTTCTTCAGGCAGCCGGCCCTTTTCGATGTTTCTGTATAGGAAGTCCGCAGATGTTAAGGGGCGTTTCGTGCATGTGAAAAGATGGATTCCGGATCGCTTGTCTTCGCACAATTGGCTGCAGTAGAAGTCCTTCTGGCATAGACTGCATCTTCGTGATGTATCTCGGGAGCAGGTATAGCATTCACCGCGATACTCTGCATGGCCACGTGTAGCATTACCAGCGTTTGGCTGAACGTTCAAGCGTGAACCCTGATTTTTCGATGCTTCTTCTTCCAGTGACCACCTGCAATCATGTCATTTTCCGATTTCTCCGAATATATCGTCACTTGGCTTCTTACCTTCTGAAAAACTCAGTAACTCGGGCCTGCTCAGCTCTCATCCTCATCCGCTCTATCCCAGCCTTCCTTCGCGCACTGCTAGGGTCCTGGGTGGTGAAAATGCTGCTTCCACCAACGACAGACGTCTTCTCTTGGCTAATCCCCTTCTTAATCTCAGCCTTTAACTCCTTCCTCAGACGTCTCTGTAGCTGTATAAGCGCATGTGATATTTTCTCCGGGCTCCCAGGTGTCATCCCCGTTACCTCAGGGACAGACCACGGCTTAAACAACCGACCATGACAGCCCCTAGTTCTGATCTTGCTATGCGCCTGCAAGAAATGCCAACACATGAAACAGCTGTACTTGCTACAGCCAAAATACGGGAACAACCGCTCGAACGTTTGTCCAATCTTACTAAGATAAAGGACCATTTGGACCTCGGCGTGTACGTTCAGCTTATGTTTCTGTAAATCCCCGAAACTGGCTTTTGCTTTGGGAGCGGTCCATTTCTGGCCTATTACCTTTTTGATCGTCGATGGGTCTACGGGTACGTTGAGGAGATTGAATGCCTGGTCTAGGCTGAGGGGGCTTTGTAGAGCCTTTTGCGTGGCAATGTCGCGCGGTATGAGGATTATGGCTACTTTCTTGAAACTGGGGAGCTTCAGGGCGATATCTTGGAATGTTTCGAAGGCGACCCGTAGTCGGCCGAGGAAGCAGATGCTTTCCCATAGTTTCTTCGTTCGGGGTGTGCTGTGCCGGGAGGTGTGGAGGAGTTCTCTGACGGGCTTCATCATCCGTAGCTCGTATGCCTTGACGATGAGGACGCTGTGTCTGTCTGTCACGGCTTGGCCGGGGCTATTCCCGTCGAAGACCAATTGGTGGAATGCCTGTAGGCGCTGACGAGCTGGGGAGAATTCGTCACGTTTATCGTCATGAAAGAGCTGTTCGCAATCCTTCAAGCTCGATCTCAGGTTTGGGATATACGTGCTCTCCAGTCGAGCACGGTAGTATGTCAACATCTCGCTCCACAGTTCCTCAGCACATCGATTTCCTACACCATGTCAGTAACCCGACCCATCAATCACCATTCCAGCAAGCAAGCACTCGACACTCACCTGGGTCCACAGACCCCAACCCCCCAAGCAAACCACCCACTCTCGCGAACGCAGCATGATCAACCTCCCGAAACCCTTCATTCCGACTAATCCACACCGTCACCTCATCCTCGCCCTCTCTCATCGCAGAGCACGCCACAAACCTCGCCCCTTTGTCGTGAGCAGCTAGCTCTGCCACACAATCCAGAAACTTTCGTTTCAGTTTGTCATGCCCGGAGTCCGAGATCTGCTGGACTTGGTTTGTGTTGACGCTGCTGGCGGTGTCGGGGTTGGTTTCCTCTTCTTCATCTCTTTCTTCTTCTTCTTCAGAATCATGGAGTGACCAGGCTGGCTCAACCTGTCCCCCGTTTCGGAGTGCGAGTAGATTCGCAAAGGAGATGAAGTGGTGCTGGTTTAGATTTGGGGCGGTCCAGCTGAATTGCTCGGCCATGGTGGATAACGTTTGTGTTGAATCTGTTGATGCTAGTGATGCTAGTGATGCTGGAGCGGGGAGGGGATGTCAGGAGAGGTCACTACTGACATTCCCTGCGACTGGAAGAGGTGTGGCGCTAATATGTACTACCTACATTTATATGGGTATGTAGTGTGCTGGTAGCCTTGTGTACATGATGTACAGATCTTGTCTCGAACACAGCCACAGCATAAATAGGCGCCACGAAAAAAAAAAAAAAAATAAAAAAAATAAAAAAATAGAAAACAACGTCGATCTCTTTCCCCACATCGTGGCTCATGGCGCAGCTGTTATGTGGAACTCTGGGTATTTGCCATCGCGCGGCCTGAAAATAATTGTTTGCTGGGAGTAGTAGTGTAGACTGTAGCTGCTTCTAAGTGATAGAAACTAGGAAGTGGTTGTGTCGGCTATCGTTGACAGATACCTGACAGCGCTGCGAAACACGAGCCTATCTTGTTGGGAAATTATGCGTTTGGCATGTGTAGATCTCAGAGATAATCTTCAGATTATTTTTAAGCTTATTGCCTTGGTAAGAACTAAGCTATCTTGCTGTTTGGGTTAGCTTCACGGTACTTTTATAGCATCGCTTGAATAAGGTTGCCATGATAAAGCTTGCTGCTCACTTGTTCACCAGTCATACTAGTAGTCTTGAGATTCTATAGACTAAAACCAGAGCAGATCTTGGAAAATCGCCGTGAACTCGATAGGTTTTATTATGGTATCCGACTTAAACATCCAAGTGAGCTACATAACGAGAAACATGTTTCGAAGTCACTTCGTAGGAAAATAAGCGCCAACAACATAGCCCAGCCCATGAAATACAACTTGTTATAGATAGCGAACAAGATAATATGCTAGGTAGTCACGATTCTGTATCCTACTCTATATCGGACGATTCAGACCTATTTAGTTGGGCTATATGCTTCCTTCTTTGGACCATAGTTATCGTATATCGTTTAAACTATACCGACTCAAGATTAGAAAGGAAATTCGCTCTCTAGACTTCTGTCAGAGTCGGAGGAAATGGCCATTATTATCCATCAATCCGTAATCAAGAACTTATCAACAATACCTTCTACCCCGCACTCTACTCAGAGATGAATGTCATGCAGAATGACCGCTTGGCGCCTTGGATATTGACCATCGGCCTCTGCCGACGCTCGAGCCGGCGATGGGAGACGCTGGGATCCGACGGACGCTTCCAGTCGCACACCTCCGATACTATAGTTATCTCACCATTTAACCGTGCGGGGCTGTAGGTTGTATTCCGGCCGGTTTTGTCGGGAAATCCGGGATGCGTCCTGGATATTCTCGGTTATTGAGGTTATATTGTGGTAATATGGTAGGATAATTAGCAGGTTTACCTTGGGGTAATAGGTATTGTAACGGCATCGTCGAAGAGTGTGTGTTTGAGGATCTCGTTGCTATTGCGTATCTGACTTTAGGCGAAGTCTAGATCTATCTATACTTCGCGTCACATATAAACGAATTTTCGTTCATACACCGTGAAATGAGTAAACTCTGTCCTGTAGTCGTTGTTTATTCTTGTCATCAAGTGTGTCATAAAAGCAAAGTACTCCAAAAATGCAGTGACCGAATGCATGGTATCAATCGCGCGTACATCAGATCCGCCAAGATAATATATTAAAAAAGCACATTCAGGCCAACTCTCAAAAATCATCCTCATCGTCATCATCATCCAGATCCAAATCAAGGGTAGCCTTGGGCTTCGGCTTCGGCGCAGCAGCCGACACTCCACCACTACCACCACCACTGCTGGCGGCGGCAGCAGACCCAGCCTTCGCAGCCGCCTTCGCAGCCTCGCCCACGCGACTCTGCTCATCGCCCACGTTCGCAACCGGCGGCGCATCCGCAGCCCCAAATCCCTCCGCCTCGCGAATCAACCGCTCGACCTCCTGATCAGGATCAAACCCGGGCCGTCCCTCACCGGCAGCCAACTGAATCTGCCCCATCAGCCCCAACCGGATACGATCCTCCATCGGATAGGGCAACATATACACCTGGCGCGTCATATTGGCCGACTCATCCAGCCAGGACGTCGCATCCTTCGTAACACTCGATACCGGCGCCGCTTCCCCATCCTCCAGCCCGTTCGTCCCCGTCCCCGTCATCTCCGTATCATGATCCCCCTGCTGGACCCGCGCTTTCGCCCCGGCCTCCGCATCCGCAGCCGCCTGGTGGTTATACTTGCTTATGCGGCGCGCGAAATCAAGCAGCAGCTTATAGTCCACTTCGTTGATACGTCGTAGCTTCCGCGGCTTATCGCTCGCATCTTGCATCTCGGCATCGCTGTCGTAGGCGGAGCTGTCGGAGTCGAAGTCGGAGTCGCTGTCGATCTCGTCGGAGTTGCAGACTGTGCGTATTTCCTTCTCATAGTTCACGACTGTTTTCACAATGCCTTTGACTTTTTCTTCGAGCGAGGCCGCTTCCGCGCGGAGGCGCAGGATCCGGGCGTAGTTGTCTTGGTGTTGGCGGAGGGTTGCGATCGCGGAGGTGAGCGAGTCGTCTGCATCTAGGAGGCTGACTGCTGCTGCCGGGGCGCCGGCTGCTGTGGGGGAGGTCGTGAGACTGGTGATGAGGGCATTGAGCTTGTTTTCGAGGTTGGAGAGGGAGGTCTGGAATTCGGTGTTCATTTTCGAGTTCGGCGGTCGGTTGTTGTATGTGGGTTACAGCATTGGTGGGGATTTTGGCAGGGTTCGGGTGGTGGTCGCAAGTCGACGGGATTGTATGCGATTAGACGTGGGTATCGGTGAGAGTTGAGGGGATTGCTGCTTTGAATTGCGCGAGCGATATTTGTTGATTGAGGATCGCTGGACTGCTTCCCGCAAACAACCCCGATGTCCCGTCACGTGAATCCTGTCCATCGCTGACCAATCATGGGCCTGCCTCTTGACATCTAGACTGGCAAACGCATTTCTGGTGTTGATTGACATTTGATGCTTACATTTGATACTCAGTTCCTTTCGCAGTCTATTGCTTCTAGACGGTGGCCACTAAGAGCTGGATATATATAGGTAGAAAGATATAGGCAACCATCATCGCCTGCGAAGTCCTCTTCTATACCGCAACTGCAACTGTAAACAAACCCGGTAACCATGGGTATCTCTTGATGCTATTCGGGCAACAGCTTTTGGGTGGGTCAATTTTCTTGTTTCCTTTTCTCTTTGAATGAGATTTCGGATCTGATGCCAGCAGGACTCCAGTGGTATCAATATTGAAAATAGTGAAATGCGCGTCTGAAGGTTCTTTTGAAGATTCAGTTCCTCAGTCGGAATACAGTTCATATTTACATAGAGCATAATGTTCATTAAAGATCTAACCGAAATGTAGAAAAGAAAAGGAAAGGAAACACTAAAAATCATTGCATCGAACGGGCCATGGCAGAGTATTCACAGATTCGTAAATAAGCAACCAAGGAATGTTTCAGCTATTCTCTTGCGATCTCTTTCGGCTCCCATCACAATTAGGTCTGCCGCAAGTCGCAGAAGCTGCGCGACGTCCGCCTCTGGTTCAGGGATATAAAGCCTTACCCAGAAGAAATACATTCCGGTCATAAGAACGATGCGGTAAGCAAGCTCTTCGGTCAGGGGACTATATCTGCTGAGAAACGCTTGCAGCATCGTCATGGCGGTGTCTAGTTTATGGAAGTGGAAGGACATGTACAATTGAGAGATCATGGAACAGATATCCTGGGTGCGGTCCCCATACCGACACAATTCCCAATCTACGATATGAAGGCATGTATCCTTGATTAGGACACTTCCCCCAGCGTTTTCGTCAGCGGTCGGCAACAGCTAAGGAAACGAAGGAGCTTACTTTCTTATGGTGAAATCTCCGTGAAGGACAATGTCCTCAGGTGTGCAGCCGACGTCTATCTCCTTCAACGTATATGATCTGGCTGGCTCTGTCAGGTGCGCAGTGTCCAAAGATTTACGCTTGGTCATTTCCCCGCGTTGGGCTATATCATCACTATTGCGCCTGATGATCTCCGAGAATTCTGCGTTGATACGGCTCTGACACGTCGAATGGAAGTATGAGATCCAGACGCCAAGACTCTCCCCTAAAGCTTTCGCAGTTGCCGTGGTCATTTTCGCGGCGACTGGAGAATGCAATAAATCGTCAAGGGATTGGCTATCTCTAATATCCTCCATAACCTGCGTATTGCTCTTCGAGAAGTAGTGGTACAGATTGGGGGACCGCACAGAGATATGCGTCTCTGGATCAACGACATGGGGCTGGTCTCCCATATGTTGTAGCATGGCCTGTTCTGTGACCTATTGAGTATAGGTCAGCAAGTATGCAGGAAATTTCCACGTTTGGAACGAGCTTAGGGTATCAAGCTTACGCATCTTGCTGTCGAGAACTTCACCCCGGGTAACATGGCGCTCCCCTCCTCACCGATCTTGATGACAATCGTCGTCGCACCATCGGAAAGCGGCCGCAGAAGATGCCCCTTGTATGTAGTATTCATCACCCCTCCACTCAGCCTTTCGATCGAAGAACATGCGTATGGTGTGGGGCTAAGCTCTCGGAGGACAGCAGCCTCATGGTCTTTTGTACTCTTTGTGGCATCTATGACGGTCATCGCGTAGATTATTATTTCGAGACGTAATGGTCGCTGTAAGTTGTGAACTGAAGAAACTTGATTTCAGCGCCGGTGACTTTACAACCTTATAATAGATGAAAGTCTTTCCCTCGTTTACAGGGGTGGAGTCACAATAATGTTTCCCTAGTCGTTTTCGCTGGTTCTGAGAGCTGCAAGTGTCATAGGGCTTGCCGATAGGCTAGAATGGAGGCAAGTCTCGGAAATTAGGATCTACTACGGAATAAATCGTTAGAAGGTGAGTGGTGACCGTGGCTTTGTATACTGAACGCTAAGATTTCGGTAAGAAATCCGAAAATCAGATCGATTTAGTCCGCCATATTAGTACGTAGTTCTTTTATTTAGCGTATGCAAAATGATCTTCAGTTTTTGGCGCCTTTTTTTTTTTTTTTTTTTTTTTTTTTTCGCGCACCATCTTCAGTTACTAGCCATTTTAAAACGCTTATAACTCAGCCAACTTCAGACTTTAGGCTTTTTGGCAATGGATGAGAGTCAGGTTGCTCATTAATGCGGTGTACTATACAAAACGGTATTTTGTAGAGCGGATGTAGATCGTCACACCGCTACTACTCTGTCTGATTGATCTGCCCTATGGGAATCGACTGTCGCGTGACCTGAGGGTGGTACCCCACTACTAGTACTCACTCAATCTCCCCCTTACCTCAGTGCAGAGGACGGAGTACTTTACCACTTACCATTGCCTATTTCTCGATTCTGCCCAGAAGGTGATGAGTAGTGGCTAAATAGAACCCAATATGGCGGATAGCAAGAAGAAGCCTTCCGACGTTCTTGACGATGCAGGTTCAGTGTCGATGGTCCACCCATGGCTCTACATGACGTGTTGAATAAGCCAATGGAACCACGAGAACCGCTATACAACCAGTACAAACATAGGGAATGCTGTGAGATGCATATGTAGATTCAGGCCGTATTTCTGCCAACTCTGCTTACATATTGGTCGAAATATCAGGAATAGGGACCGTGGGCCTTCCCATGACTTTATTAGTGCGTACCATCATAGAAACCCATCTTCTTGTCGAGACTAGTAGGAAATCTTCCATACAAACAAGGTTTAGGGTTAGAGTATGTTTGGTATAAAACCTAGACTATTAGAGATCTTCTGAGTAGCCGGTTTAATTGTACAGTCAGCCACGACCTTCTCTCCATATACCCAAATCATATGGATGAAGCGAAACAAGTGGATAAACATGGGGTTCCGAAGCCTGACGCGCAAAACCCTAGTATTACGGGTCTCACAACCGTTTTTGATAGCACTCTAATAAAATTATCCAGGCCAGCGCTCTTCTTGCGACATATAATGGTAATGTTGGAACCGGACGAAATCGCTGCAATTTCGACCAATCTAGACAACAAGGAAAACATCAAGTCTAAGTTCTGGAAACGGGATATCCAGGCGCGCTAAATGCTCAAAGATCTAACCAAAACAAAAGACACAAGAACGCCAAATTGTGACAAAGGGAACAATAAATCTACATAACCATAGCCGGGGTTCTTTTTCTGCCAGAAATCGCTAAATCAAATGACCTCGGGTTCACTCGTCGTCGAAGAGCTTCTTCATGAAGTTGTGAGCAAGCTCAACTCCCGCGCTGGTAACCGTTAGTGGATTCGTCTCGGGCCAGTAGTACAAAGGGGAACATACAAGGTAGCGGCGTTGGCGGGAACAGCTCTGGCCAAAGCCGGGCCGAATCCAGGGAAGAAGGCCTTGAAACCACCGCTGGCGTAGACACTGCGAATAGTTCCACCAATAGTGGGCTTACCGGGGGCACTCTGCAAGCGCGACTTGATGGTGTCGACGGGGAAAACGGGAATCCACATGGCAATACCAGCCGCACCACCAGCAGCCAGGACAGCGGGCATGGAGAGCTGACCGGTGGCGTTGCCGTTCGCATCCTTGGGTGTCAGGGAGCGCTTGATGTACTCGTAAGCAGCGAAGTAGGCGGCTGATCCAGGACCATCACGGGCTAGGGTCATTGCGCTTCCCCGGAAGACACTGCGGATGCCACCCTCCTTGTACAATTGCCGAACCACATCCAATCCACCGGAGTATTTGGGCTTCTGGCCCGGGGGAGGCGGGTTCTGGCCTTGGATCTGCAAAAGTACCTTCACTCGCTCAAAGGGAGCCGTGATCAGGGTCATGGGGATGGCGGAGAAGAAACCAGCAGCGGAGATCTGGCCAATAGTGTACTGAGGGGTGTTGTTCTCCACGCGCACTTCAGAGAACTTGCTAACGAGCGTCTTGCCCACGTCATAACCCTAGGAAATTGTTAGTGCCCAATATAGATTGGTAAGCAGTCTCTATCATACCCAGAAGCTGACAGCAACTAATGGATAGTCAGCAATCTATCAATTGGAATATGTCATCGGGGTGACAACTTACACATGGGAGTGACTCCCACGAGAGGAGCCGAAACACCAGCATACAATCCCTATACCCGGTTAACGCGATGCTTAGACTTTATTGGAATCATCAACTTACGCGAACAAGGCCCTCACGGGCGACTGTCTTCTTCACAACATCAATTGCACCGGAGTAAACTCCCTTCTCCGCAGTCTGTAGACGGACCTTCACCAGGTCAAAGGGGTGTCCGACAACGACGGCGCACACACCACCGGCAGCACCGGCAGCAAGAGACCGAATCTGCGCAATAGTCTGGTTGACAGCTTTGGCCTCTGCGACCTTGAAGTCGTCCCGGATTGTCTCCGGGGTAGAAGAAGAGGCGGAGGACATCGTGGCGGGGTGGTCCGAGAGCGGGGAAAGCTGGCCGCGGAGAGAGAAGGCGAGCGTGAAGGTAGAGGATTAGAGAATACCGGGGTTGCCGGGGGTTCAGGGAGAGGAGAGGTGAAATTTAAGGAACGCGAATAAATTAAGGCAGCAAAAACAATCCCACCGGCAGAAGGAAATTGAACAGAGGGAAATGAACAAACAGCTCCAAACAGGCCAAAAAGCTGGAGAACGGCCGAGGCCGAGCAATAGGAGGAGGCCGACGATTACCGGAATAGGATATTTCCCGTGACTTGGACCTCGGCTCGGCACGGGTCAACTGGTCTTCCGACACCGACTGATCGCGAATGTCAATCCCGAGTATTAGCCAGGTACCGGTCTGTCTATGCGACGGAGTTTGTATATTGTAACAGCAATATTTAGCGCTAAATCCGAGTCATTACTTTGGCCCGTCCTCCTGTATTTATATGCATTCATCCATTTACCCCATATTGAACTTCCTAGGACATACCAGGCCACGGTGCCGGGTGAACGGGCGCCAAACTCCAATGGTTGAAGTCACCTCGCATTGACTGCCATTCCTCCGGTGTGCTTTGTCAAAGCGGCCAGGCGTGTGTCACGGACGACAGGAAGTCAACATTGAATCAAGATACTACTCAGGCTGCCGAATTTAGGACCTTTCTTTCTATCAGCTGCACTGCGTTGAATTAATCTCATCCCCGTCATCTGACTTCATACCGCCAAGGAATCACATGCGGAGCGGTGCCATTGGGCGCACGTGCGCGTTTTCCACAACAATGCATCCTGAAACCTAAGGTATCTACTTAAGACAGAAGGAGGCAAGCGTGTTGTTAGCATAATTGCTTAACCCGGATGGCCCCTGATCTAATCAATCTAAGGTTCGAGTATCACGAGCCTTCAAGTGAGTTGGGCCACATTTCAAAAAAGATAAGCTACGCTTGGCATTCACGCATGAGAAACAGTTAAATATAAATTATGGATCAACTCAAATTAGTACGTCATGACACAGCTATAGCTGGGTAGTCACTAATTATCTACCGTTGTAAACGAATAATCCGTTACAGAAACATGTACAGTACAGGATGCATAACAAATTAGGCGAAAGGCCGGGAATCATAAACACCATCGCTCATCCAAGGGGGCAGTCGGTCATTAATAAAGCGTTTAGAGAACGAAGAAAGCGGCGAGGGCGAGAGCACCCAGGGCACCGCTGCCCATGACAGTCTTGGAAGCGGCAGAGTTGGTCGAGGTGCTGGAGGGAGCAGTCTCAGTTGCGCTGCCACCGTTGGAACCGCCGTTGGAGCCAGTGGTGCTGCTGCCGTTGGAGCCGGTCTCAGAGGAGCTGGAGCCATCGCTGGAGGTGCTGGCAGCAGTGCTGAGGGTAGTGGAGCCGGTCACAGTAGACTCGCCAGTCTTAGAGGCGTCGGTGCCAGTGGCAGTCGAGTCACCGGTCTTGGAAGCATCAGTGCCAGTGGCAGTCGAGTCACCAGTCTTAGAAGCGTCGGTGCCAGTGGCGGTGGAGTCGCCGGTCTTGGAAGCATCGGTGCCAGTAGCAGTGGCGGTGGAGTCACCGGTCTTAGAAGCGTCGGTGCCAGTGGCAGTCGAGTCGCCAGTCTTAGAAGCGCCAGAGCCAGTGGTAGTAGCAGAAGAGTCGCCGGTCTTGGATGCATCAGTGCCGGTGGCAGAAGTGGAGTCACCAGTCTTGGAGGCACCACCACCATTGGTACCAGTGGCGCTGCTGCCAGCGGAGCCGTTAGGGCAGGCAGCAAGAGCAGCAGCCACGACGGCAGCAGAATCATCGTTAGGGCAAGCCTGGGCAGTGCAGTCGCGCACACCAAAAGAGTAGTTGTCGCTCTTGCACAGGCAAGCAAGGTCACCACTAGCGCAACCCAACTCGGAAGCCTTGTTGTTCATGTTGCTGATGCACATTTGCTAGGCGGAACGTTAGTGCTGTGTCTTCGCCGGAAGCTATGGATAGGAACAACATACAGCGCATTCACCAACGGAGATCTCGGCGCTCACCATGGTGGTGGCAGCCAGCAGAGCGAAAGAGAGAGCAGTGGTCTTCATGATGACGAATCTATGAGGTTGGACGTGAACCGAGTAGAAGACAGGGGAGAGGCGATCAGTGAAAATGAGGCGTCAGCCAATTGATCGAGGGAGGGAGTTGGATGATGGTTGTTCGCTTGGGATGTGGCAGGGGGAAAAGAATGGCAAGAGATCGGAGGGGGAAGGAGCTGGTTTAAAAAGGCAGGAAGTGACGCGCAAATCTCAATTCTACTAGTATCTCCCCAAGCTTTTCGGGGACTCGATCAACCAGAGAATTTTTTATTTTTTATTTTTCAGTTTTTTTGTTTTTCTTTTTTTCTTTCCCAATTTTACTTTTTTTTTTTTCCCTTTCCTCTAATACGATCGTCACTGGCTCCTTGGGCGGTTGGCTTTCCAAGGTCTCCAGCCAACGTGGCTAGGGCAAGTACTATCACGGACCAATTCGCATGCGATGTGAAGTCATCGACCAGCCCACCGAATTTGATTTTACTGATTTTAATCTTAGTCTGCAAGGTAAAATGCTTGGGTGGCTCGATCCATCGCGGCCTATTAACCAGCCGCCATCGATCCACTTCAGCCCACCTCTCTCCCACACAATCTTCTCATAGGTCGCGCGGGCTTAGTACTCGATAGTTTGGGTTGGCTCCAGATTAGTTTTTTTTTTTTTTTTTTTTTTTTTTTTTTTTTTTTTTTTTTTTTTTTTTTTTTTTTTTTTTTTTTTTTTTTTTTTTTTTTTT